AAAATAAATTTAAACAATGATGTGTAGTACTATTGCATTTTAACGAGTGTTGAACAATCATTTACAGAATATCAAAAAATTCATTAATCGATTAAATGACCCTGAACTTTTCAGACATTTAAAAACTCCAACTTCAAATGATGGATGCAAAAATCGTTCGATTAAATAATAAAAACATCACGAGAGTTTCTTAATTGATTGAACATTTTTTCAAGAACAAAAAGATAAGAAATCATGAATATAATAACCACTGAAATAGATAATCAGCTTAATATTAATTCGATAATAATTAAATTATATTCATTTCAATTGGTTTATTCGATGAAGTGAAAAAAAAGTAATAAAAATAAATAAGATTAATTGAAAACTAAACAATGATGTCACAATTTTTTAAATCAGCCCAAAAAAACAAGTCTAAAAGAATCATAATTTTTTGCTTCTGCTAATTATGTTATTAATTTGAGGATTTATTTCGATTTAAGTGAAATATTTTACTGCAGTTAAGACAGAAAAAAAGAATAAAACTGCTACTATTTAATATGAATTGAATGAAAAAATTTTTTTCAGATCATGAATTATGTATAAAAATACTCCAAAAATAAAAAACTTTTTTTTCCTAAATAAGTTGTAAATTTTTCAACAGTAGAAAATGTTGATCTAAAATAAAATAAATTAATTCTCAAAATACGCTACAAAAATTTTCCTAAAACAATTATTGACATTAATCAATGAATCATCAAATAATTATTAAGATCAAGTTAAACTTTTGTTGGACTTCTAATCACAGTAATAAATTTTTATCAACATGATAAAAAATATTGAAGAAACTAAAATTCATTTCTATACATCAAACTGATTTCAAAAAAGAAATTTTTTACATGATTATTTCATTATTTATACATGCTTTAATTAATAAAATTATCTTCTGTCAAGTTCTAATGAAAAATAAATGACTGCGAGTCTATAAGTAATTTTAATTACTCGTCACAGCTATAAAAATGGTTGTAAAAGAATTTGTAAAAATCATAATCAATCAATCACATTTTCCAATTCTCATCAACAACCAATCAATTAAATGAAAAGATTGAAACATCGAAACTTGTCATGTATTTGAAATAAATTAGCAAGAATTTTCAATCGATGAAATGAATAAAAGAAGAAAAAAAGAATAAAATAAAATAGAGAAGGTTATTAAGCCTAACAATGTCGATGAACTCAAACTTTCCCTTTCGTCGCTCCGACGCGTCCGGATATCAACGTGAGGATCTCATAATTTTTCTTCAAGTAGAAGCGTGGTTATGCACACGATATACGTTGGATCTCATATGCGATGCATCGGTACCGATTGTGAGCACGCTCGCGCTCCATAGGAGGCACGACAAAAAGTCTTAGATTTTCCCTTCTCTTCACCTCTCCTGATCTACGTGGATTGAAAGCAACTCGAGGCTTTTGCGCATGTAAACGCTATGCATTATATGCCGTCGTTGACTGCACTTTCTTCATAGCCCGAGTCACCCTTGGAATGTAGTCGCCTTCACGCACTAATTATTTTTGATAAAAAATTCGAGATAGCCCGGTGCTATACGAACTTGTGTATATTAATTATTATAAGCGTGAGAGCAACATTTTTTTAGTGCGTAGAAAGTAGAGATAACGATTATAAAGTGAAAGAGTTGTAGAGGTGATGAGAAAAAGAGAGTTGTCATTTAAATATATGAATCGTGAGTATGTATATATATATCTCAGTAGTAAGATACTTGAGATTATTGAATTCGTTACAAGACAACGAGAAAAATGAACACACGTCAGTCAAGATCACTTTATTCCCTTCTTCTACATATTTTCTGCTCCAAGTTACCTTTTTTTAAATATCTTCATAATATAAACCTCCAGTGCTTGAGAAACTTGCACCAAAATATTTTCTTATATCTCAATAAGATCAGACAAGTTATTTCAAACAATCAAGATATCTGATTTTTTTTGCAAACAATCACCATCATTTGGCAAATGTGAACACGCATATTTATGTATTGTTTTGTTACTCATATACGTGTATACTAGTGAAATAAAATATTGATGTAATTTTTTATTTTTTTACTCTCATACTTTCTTTATAATTTTCAATTAAAATTTAAATTTTATTTTGCTATAAAATTTTTCACATGTATATTTGCAAAAAAAAAATTTTATAGCAATGATTTATTTTATAATAATTGTAGATGCCCTATTGTGAAAATATTTTTTAATTATATGAAATGACTTTTAAATAATATTTAATAACTATGATGAAAAATATGTAAATCTTAAAAATCCTCTTTTGACAAGGCGGTAATATTCAACAGTTTGGAGGCAATAGCAAAATTGAAATAAAAGTTATAAGTACTTTTATGGATGTAAAAATTTATTCATTGCTTCGGTCTTTAAAGTTAAATGAAACGTCACTGAAAATTATGGCCGATTGGTATTACCTATGTAATTTCATCTACGATACTTTTGAAGGAGGGAAATTGAGTATTTAAAATTATGATGTGAGCTTAAATGCATATAAAACTTTAGAAAAGAAAAATGATAATTGATGAATAAAAATAAAATTAGAGGTACTAAAAATCTTACAGCAACTCACGAGGTTTCGCTACTTGCATAATCTCCTACTTTGTAACCGCGTGCGTTAAATTTCCCGGAAAACTCTAACTTCGACAAACTTTCGCATTCCATCGTTGCAAACAATTAAAAAAAAAAATATATATTCATTCTTAACTTCAACTAGAACGGAACAAAATGTTAAATACTTGGAAAACTACCTTAAACCGGAACATTCATTTTTGTCATTCTCTCACGGATGTAAAGATTTGAACCAATTATCACTGCTATAAGTTATGCTCTAGCGATCTTCGTGGTCAGACAAGTTCACGAGGGACGCAAATAAAATAGGATTAGATACTAAAAAATAATCATAACCAGAGAAATACGATTAAGGTCATACAATTTTATATATCAGTTAGTGTGAAAAAACAAAAAAATAACATTAAAAAGATTTTTTTTTTTTATTTCCTTCCAGTAATTAAAAAGTAATTATTAATTATTGAATGACAATGTCATGATTGGATTGGGCAATCAATTAATCAGAATTAAACCTTCTTATCTCGTAGTGAGAAAAATAATATTTTTAGTTTCTTTTTGTTTGGAAGTAAATTATTTCATTATTTGTGTGATTCATGAATGGAATTGCAAATCACATATTAAATATTTATAATAATATTTAAATAAATGTATATTATATAATTGAATGAAAAATATTCCAAAATGAAATGAAACTATTGTTTAGTAAACTACTTGAGAAATCCTTGGATGCTTTTTCCAATTCTGATTCTCCTCAGAGAATCAAATTCAATTCCTGTAAAAGCTTATTAAAAAAAAAAATCAAATCCCGATTGTTTTTATCTGATCAGTTATTTTACATGATAAAAAAAGCTGGAAAATTACATTTAAAGCATCTTTAATAAATGATTTAATTCAATTTATGTTCCAGATACAATCAATAAAATTTCCAACAATAATAATAAAGACTCATGTTGCTAGAGATTGTTATTTATTTTCGGAAAAAATGATAAAATATATCTCAGTAATAGATTGAAGATATAATTGTCTACATTAAAATGAAACAGAAATAAAAAAAAAATCATGTATACATATCAAAGCATATCTTGCGTGTCTGTATGATTCTAGCAGTCTGAATGTCTTTGAAAGACTCATATACATATCAACAAACACACATGTGGATCAAATGGATATATCGGAAATTCAGGTTATCGAATTCATCGAGCAGAAGGTCTGGCATTATCTAAGTATACACAAATTACTATCTCATGTTGATATGACATTTGTTTCCATTCGATGTATCGTATCATCAGCATGAAGAAAAGTACTAACGAACCAGTCAATATACACTTCCCTGCCGCGCAATTGCTTCAATTATAGAATAAAATCTGACATTTGTCAATGAAAATATTGAAGAACCACAACGATAGTTTAATAATCGACTAATATCATCGAAATATATATCAATGGTATGATGCAATGACTCTCCTTCAATCATTTTTGCAATGAATATTAAAATAATTGGTCAATGGTTATGTACAAAACAGACAATCAATTAAAAGATATGAAAAAAATGGCCCTGATTAATGTTATTAATCACCTTTTATCGAATAATCTTTCAATCGGAATACAAGAATCGAAAACGACTATTTGATGAAAAATTTAAGTGTCTCTTATGCTTGTCATTAAGATCTCTTGATTTCAATCACTTCTTTGAATTAAAAAAAAAATTTTATATAAATATTTTAAATGCTATTTTTGAATTTAATTTCACTTTCAAGTAATTTTTATCATCGTTAATCCTTTGACGTCAATAAAAATATGTTAATGAACAGGCATAACAGTATGAATTCCAGACGAATAATTAAAATAAACTGTCAATAATCAAAATTCAAAGAACTTACGTATAAAATTGCTCCTGAAATTGGTTTCAAAAGGAAGAAAAAAATGGGAAAAAAAATAAAATGCCACATTAGTTCCATCTACGTAGTCGAACGATCAGATATTCATAAACATTATTAATTTCCTATAAATAAGGAGAAAAAAATAACTAGATTTACATTAACGCAGTTGTTCAATCGAATAAACAGTATATAATGAAATTTTATTCGATAAAAATTGGAAAAACCCAACGATACGATGATGGAAGAAGAAAATAAAAATCCATCAAGATAAATGAAAGAAAAATTCATCAAATAATGGATGAAGAGGAATAAATGTCTCGGCAGTTTGGTTGCAGGTGAAGAGATGGAGGTATAAAAGCGAGTATAGTAACACGTTTGAAACAGGTTCCAATGTAGGGAGAACAGAGTTCCGGAGGTGGGAGAAGCTCCAGGCGATACCATGCCACAGACATGGCGAGTAGAAGGGGAACGAGGGAAACCGGCGACAAGTAGTCGTTTACAGTTATAGTCAGTCCGTAGCGGGCGTTCTTCCAGTTGAGAACTTGCTTGGTAAATTGTTTCCACTTGGTTTGAACTCAATTGTACAACTCATCAATTTGACTATTCAATGAGAAACAATTATAAATACGCGTGAATTATAATTAAAAATATTTATTATACTTGAGAAGAAATTCAGTTTTTCGGAACAGACATTTTGGAATTAATAACTAACACTAGTGGATAAGATTTCGGGTAAAGCATCATCAATTCAAAAGTGTTTTTGTGTATGAAAATCTAAAGAATGAGAAAGGAAAATAGAATTGTGATTGAATTTATAAGAAATGATTTTTTGTTGTTACTAGTTATTATTATTATTATTTTTTTAATCAAATTATTGTTTTGTATTACTTAGAAATTCTCAGAGTCCGGGTAACGGTACACACAGCCAGTCTTCCTGCACGAAGACATTTTAATTCTTTTGAAATTCCTCTACTTAATGCATCCACGTGTTTTAATGTTCATGAATTTTGTTTTAAGTCCTTTTGGATAATTGTATTACTTTCTACAAACATTAAACAATCTAAATAAAACAACACAGTATTAAAATACATAACTGACATCAATTTTTCGGTTTACAAAAAGAAGAAGAAAAAAAAACACCACAATTGAAATCATAAACACTTATTTGTCGACGTTAGCTATTATTGTTTATTTATTTCTCATATATAGATTGTGAATTATAAACTTGGGATTCTTTGCGAATGTAAATAATTGTCATCATTCTTGAGTGTGAGATTTTTTTATTTCGTGGGATTTAAACGAGATATTCACACGTTCGGGAATTCCCTGTATATTTCATGATGACAAAACATTAAGTCTTATATATTATTTAGCTATTCTCTCTTTCCTTACTCGTATCATAAGCAGAGTTCAAAAAGAAAATCATCAAATAAAAAACATTATTTTTTGTATGTTTGAAGATAAATAGCATTACGTCTTCAATAAAATTGAATCTAATAATTTTTTTTTAATACCGATTGGAAATATTTATTTAACTTTGTACCCCTTAATATTAATATTTAAACAAACTTTTTCAATAAAATCACCAAATGCTATTTGTTTAATAAAAATATATAAATCCTGAAATAAATAAAAAAAAAATATTTAAACAATTTATCTTTTATTGAGAATGTTTTTAAAAGAGATTACTAATATTTTGATACTAAATATATTGGATTATTTTTATTTTTATGAAATCTAGAACAATTCATTATTTATTATTTTATGATTTGTTACGACAAAAATATTAATGTACATTGAATATTTAAGTAATAATAAAAATATTTATTATTTCAGGCAGTAGCAGAGACATTACTATTCAATTTTATTATTCAATAGAATAATAAAAGAAAAAGAAAAAAAGCAAAAAATGATTAAAAGAATACCAAAAGTGCTGCGTTAAATGTTGCCGCGATGCGGAGAATTAAACGACGAAGAATCGATGGACGATTCCGAGGATTAATTGTGAAATACGTGTGATAAAATGAGAAATTCGTGATCTAATTAATTAACAGACTGTAGCACAAACATTTGGATTACCAGTTGACTAAACTCGAGCAGTTAAAAAAATATTATAATAAAAAATAACAAAAAAAATTACGACAGTGAAGTGGAAGTTTTTTTTTTTGTTTTTATCAAAAACACAAATGTTCTTATATTCAGTGATTTTACCAGAATTCATATGATTTATTCTTATAATTATTATCATCATTGGAAATAACAAGTAATTATTTCTGCAAAGTGTATAAACCAATAGGTAAGATATCGAAAGGTTTTTTAAATCTTTTTTTTCATTCTATTATCTTAATTATTTTCTAAAAACTAATCATTGACATTGTTTATGAAGTTTATATGGAATTATGAAAAATTCAAAGATTTGCATTTTTCCGTTAAAATGTTGTTGTCGTCAAGACAATGATAATGACACTTAACATATATCTACAGTCATGCATAGATATCCACAAAGAGTTGATGATAAATTTACCTTAGGAAGGTTATCAAATCGTTCGAGAGTTTAAGTTTAAATTATTAACATCGTAAGAGAGAATTTAACCGATAAACTAAAGCCTTGAACAATTTTTTTTTTTTTTTAATTTATTATTTTTTTTATCGCCTTGTTTTATCGTAGTATAACTATTAAAACAAATAATTAGAATATTAAAGAAATAGTATTGCCATTTTAAAACTTTAAATAAGTTTCTTTACTGTCATGACCAATAAATCAAAATATACTTCTTCGAATACAATTATCCAAATATTAAATCAATTAAAAAATTGACACTATATATTTATAGTTTCCTATCTTTTGATGACTTTGACATTAAGGTGTTTTTCAATAAAAACTAAATATCCAACATACTGTTTAATATAATATAATAAGCCTTAAATTTCTTAATGAGCTAGATTTTAAAAAATTATCACTGACATTAACAAAGTAGTTACAGTAAAAAAATATTAATATCGTATGGGCTCTTCTTTTCACCTGGGAATTAAGTATTTGAAACACTTGTTTTAACATTTTCGACGTCACGTCTATCACACTCTGTCTCGCTTTACCTCTTTCAGAGTAGCCAAACTGATAATAATAATAAGCTTTAAATACTACTTCGACTTTTTATCTTAATTCTAATTGATGTTTTTATGTAACTGCACATGCTGGCGTAAAAAACATACGATTGTACACAGTGATATCAATAAACTGCTTATTTATTTGTTGAATAATGTGTAAAAATAAGAACCAAATAATAGTAGGCAATTGCAATTCAATTAATCAAAGATTAATGAAGAATTCATTGATTGAACAACATGTGATTGAATTTTTTCTAATAAAATTAAAATAATTTTTTGAAATTTTTTAGACTTTGATCAAAGCTAGTGGGAGGGTAGCAAGATAATGCGAAGTTTGGAAAGATTATCGGGCAGTGATCAGGATTACATTGATCAGGAAATGTATATCGATTTAGACGACGCTTCAGTGGACTCGATAACGGGAAAAAGGGGACGTCATCATGTTGTTGGTGGCGAAGTGAGTGTTGATGAGACTTTGTTATAAGCATATGCGAATATTAATAAGGTTTAAAAGTGATAATAAATAAACTTATGATTGAATTTGATATCATCAGGTGGGAGAGGAGAGCGACAGCAGTGGTAGTGAACAGAGTCCAAAGCAAGCAAAGAGAAGAAATCGTGGTAGTGGTCCACCAGCGACAAGAAGACGGAAAAGTGGTATATCCGCACGTGAAAGAAACCTTAGACGATTGGAGAGTAACGAGCGAGAGCGAATGAGGATGCATTCGCTCAACGATGCCTTCGAGGTATTAATCAACGTCCTTGAACGTCTTTTCCCGCTTCTTTCTTTGTTTCTCTTTTACCTCTCGCTCCGAGGAATCCCGTAGCGATGACCGCGGGCTATGGAAACGCAGCGAGAGGTGAAGGAGGAGTGGCTGGCACACCTGACGTCGACCGATGATAATTATTTACCTCAGGTTAACGGGCTAACTCCTCTATAGAGGTCTCGAGCTATTCACTTATACTATTTCAATGCCTACAATCGTTGAAGAGCATCCGATTGACCGATCACGTCTTGCGATCGGTCACATTATTCCCTCATGGGATTCCCTTAGTTGAATATATTATTATCTCGCTAAATCTTGATATCAAATTAATTAAGTTTATTATTTATTTGTTTCATTCATTTCAGCAACTCAGAGAAGTTATACCACATGTCAAGATGGAACGGAAACTCAGCAAAATAGAAACACTCACGCTTGCTAAAAATTACATCATGGCTTTGACGAATGTCATATGTGAGATGCGCGGAGAAGAGCAACCTTACACGTAAGTCAACACGATTATAAAATAACACCTTTTATTTGTAATTCCTATTATTACTATACCATCTGCTTACAGATAATTAAACTATTTTTTCTGAATCAGATTCCTTTTCTCTCTCTCTCTTATATCATTATTACTGAAATTAAATATTATGAAAAAACATGACCAGCTGAAGTATTACGTCAGAAGAGATAAGCAATTGTTATCCAAGTCATTTATATATTGGATTTTTTTTAATCGTGTAAATTTTTCACTGATATTTCAACATTCAGTTTAATAATGTAAGTAAATGTGATGTACACAGGTGGCTAACGTATTAAAAAATATTCTGACGTTAGTATACTAAATATCATTATGCAGACCACGTAGAATTTTGCTAGAGTTGTTGGCTTTAACGTGTTTTTGCCTTCAATTTACCGCTAATACCATGTTTCTATTACCATTCGATGATCGTGAAAGAATTTTTGACACAACTATTTTATTTAAATTTTACTCTATTTCAATTATAAAAAGGTATTCATTTACCTTCAGGTTTAACTAATTAAATTTTTATTTACAAACTTCCAATATTCTCTATATTCAATTATATATTTTCACTATTTTTACTTTGAAATTGTATATTTATTTTTCTACTGTTTTTTTGTTTTGTGTTAAATTAATTAACTCAAGAAAATGTTTCAAACAATTAATTACTGCATAAAAAAATTTATTTTAAGTATAACGAAAAATTGATGAAAAAAAAAATTCTTAATTAATTGAAAAATACAATCTACATTTTTAATAAATATTTGAACAATTGTAAAAACCATTCAAATAAAATGATTGAATTCAAGTTTTGATAAATTGTTACCAAATAATTAAAATTTAACAGATGACAATCATTATCAGTTAAATTGTGTATGTTTGAATCTAATTAAGAATATTTTTTTAATATTAAATTAAATTAACTGTACTTATACATCCTGAAAGTTTTTTAGTGGGTGATAAATTCTGATATAAATTTATCGACAAATAAAAACGATAGGCAACGAAAATAAGTTACAATCGTCAGACGATATGATTTAAGCGCGGGTTAAAAATTAAAAAAAGAGAAAGAAAAAAAATTTTAAATTATCTTTATCGTTATTGCGTGATAAATACTTTGTAAATATTAATTAGACTTTTATTCTTTATTGACTTAGATTTGTTGATGGGGAGTGTGGATCAAGCAGTGGTGATAGCACGGGACAACTTGAATTAAGTGGTGGAGAACAGCCTGAAGAAGCGTCTCCAGCATCAATGCACGAAGCTAATAACAATAATCTTCTTCATGAAGATCTTGAACGCAGGATACCTTAGTTAATAACTAACAAAAAACCAACTTTTAATCAAAAAGGAAGAAAATAGATGGAATAATCATCGTAAAAAAATGAGTGAAAAATTGCTTAAACAAAAAAGAAAGATACCTAAATAAGAAACTAAAGATATATAAATAAAAAAATTATAACTATTGGTGTATACGATTATGTTTAAATGATGAAACAAAAACTTTTAAACGTACACTAAATATTATGTTTTAAACATATAATATAAAATAATTTCGACTAATTTTTGATGACTTATAAACGAAAATGGCACTATTACTTTATGATATTATGAGAGAGTGCAGAAAGACTCGATTGAAGTTTTATTATCAAATGATTTTTATATACTAAAAAAATGCAATTAAAATCTCATAAAAGCTTAATATGGAAATATATGGGAAAGATAACGATGTTTGGTACGTTATGAATGTTTTTAATATATTATAAATAATATATAAATGAGAAAAGAGGATCTAACGACGAGATAGGAAGGTATGGGCTCAGCCTCAAACGCGATACTGTGATAGAATAATTTTTTTCGTATTAAAATTCTGTTGCTGGCTCAAACTTTATCATTCTCGTCTCTTATAACTTTTATTTATAAGTTTCTTACGTTCATACAAAGTTTTTAAAATGAAGAAATGAATTTTACGTTTAAAATAAAAGTTAAATGTCATTGGTGTGCCTTGTGTGTGATTAGATCCTTTATGAGACTTCAATATGAATTTATATATACGTATAATAATATTTAGAAAAATTTTATCTTCGCAATTTATTATGACTTTGTCTCGAACAAGTGTCGATTGATAAAGATCCAATATTTTTCGTTATATATATTCAAAATATTGTTGATAGATGAAGTTTATTTATAATTGTGTTATTAATTTAATTGGATTTTCATTTATTTCATCTTCAATGCGTTACTCGACTATGCGACGTATTTGAAAAAATTATAAATTAATGGGTTAATTATATAAATTATTAAGCGCGTATGTTGTACTTCATTATCATGAAAAATTAAACTAAATTCTCAGTCGATTCTTGATATCAGAATTCAATGAATTAAACTCATTTTGAATAATTAAATAACTTAAAATTATTGTAATTACATAGATATATTTTACTTTGAAAAAAAAATCCTCATTCAAATGATTGAAAACAAGATAAATAAAAATACTATTTAATTGAGTTTTGAACAAATTTGATCAAACTATACAATTGGATAAAGAATATTTGAAATATTTTCTGCTAGTTAGAACATTTATATCTACAAAAAAGGTCTGTGTAATTATTTCAAACGATACTTATCCATTAATATTATTGTTTAAAATATATTTTGTTTGAAACATTCTCAACATTCCAGAGGAATGAGGCTAACCAATGCTTCTTGCAAGGTTCACTGATGGTGGTTGTGATTATATAGTTAGAATTGCTAATACTTTCTCTTTCGTTGCATAATTTTAAACTTTGCGAAAGATAGAGATTAAAAGAGTGAGCTCGCGAGAATCTGAGAATGATTTTGAATATATTTTGTATTTATAACAGAAAAAAAAGTTTAAATATAATCTTGACTATACTTTTCAACGTTTTTCTGAGGGAAACTAAAAAATAAATTAATAAAATCATGTTTATGGTCTCTGTTTGAATTTTAATTTATAATTTTCAATGTTCACTATTGTTATCTTAATGATATAATTAATTTATATTTTTTCATCAGTTACACACAGATGTAGAAGCAAATATATTACTTATTGAGAGTCAAGAGTCGAGCTGAGAGTTAAAGAAATGATTAATGCAGCCAATTATACATATAATTAAAAAAATAGTGCTGTATATGTACTTCAAAACTGACGTGAAGTAATGTTTATATCTATATACATAAAGAATCGTCCATTAAGCATAATACATAGATTATTTTATGACTAATTAAATTTTATATGTGACCATGTTATCGACTATATAATTGTAAAATTAATTTTTGACGGATATTTGAAATAGTTAGAAATCGAATTAATTTTACTGATGAAAGAAATAAGTCGAAAGTTAATTAAACCACTATTGAAAAATAAATCATATTATAAATCTTAAAAAATTTTCTCTGTTATATGTATATCATATATATATATATATTGAAATATAATGTATATTTATATATGTATACATTGTTAAACAACTGCTACGAATGATATTTACTCGTGAGCAATGTTTAATTGTATATATTTTTTGAGCTATGATATTAATGAAATATATACATATATACAAATACTATTCCTACGCTTAATAACTAATACTATTTTTGTATTTCAACATATTTATTATTGATTCATATTAAACCTATGTCCTTTTAAATAACTCTTATCCTTTTTTTCTTTTAAATTAAGTTACATAAAAAACTAATTGGAACAACAAACCTTTGGAGATCGCCATTGGAGATCAATTTGAGACCAGAAATTGATATGGGACGCGAACTCTATTTTATATACGTTTTTACACAAAAAACTTGTTTTATTATACGTAACAATTAAGTAAATTAATTACTCAATAATAGTTAACATAATATTACGAATAACACTTTGAAAAGTACTTAAACTAACAACAAAAATACGATAGACGCGGATCAACCGAATTTTTGAATTTCAACGTAACAATAACTGTCGGTACTATATTTTTTAATTGTGCAGTTGATGCAACTTCTTTATCCGTGAATTGATGTATTACCTATAATCGGTATACACAATAATACCCAGTCGATATCAGATTTTATTTCACATATTTTGCGGGTGACGTCAGCATTGATTTCTCACAATTCAAAACAAATCCAATACTACTGTAATAAAATCATTTTGCGAATAAAATCGTTTGGCCCACGTGCACCCGTATTAATAGTTTCCCACCATTTTTAATTTATTCGTTTCTAAAGTTATTTTATTATTAACTGTGATACATAATTATTTATTAATTTTTAACTATAAGTAACTAATAATTATCATGGATTATAAAAAAAATCAAAAAAACAGGAAGCCTGATAAAAGAAAAAGTACAATTTACTATAATAATAATCATAAGAAAAGAAATAGAAACTATGAACGTAACCGTAATTTTAATATTGAAAGTGAGCCTCTGTCAGAGTCTATGAAAATTTTCAAAGCATTGCTGACTCTACATTCAAGACATGATATTATTCTGGATTTAGATATGATTGAAAAATTGAAAACGACACAAGAATTAGATCTAACTCAGTGCAAATTAATTAAATTACCACCAACTATACTCCAATTAACAGCATTAAAAACTTTGATTCTAGATGATAATCAGATTCTTCATCTTCCTAAAGCAATAAGTGAAATGCTTACTATTACAAAATTTAGTATAGCTAATAATGGTCTGAGTGACTTTCCTTGTAAAATAACAAATTTAACAAATCTTGTAATATTAAATATTTCTGGTAATAAACTTAAAAGTCTACCAGATTACTGTAAAAAATTAGAAAATTTACAAGTTTTAGATATTTCAAAAAATGAACTTAAATGCATTCCTAGATGTATTCAGAGAGGTCTTGCAAATCTAAAAATACTTGATGTGTCTAAAAATGAGGGTATGTCCTTAAACGGTAGAATTTTTAGTAAAAAACTTAAAGAGCTTTACGTCAGAAATAATGGATTAGTACAAGCAAACTTTCCTGGATGGTTATTCTTTAATGATATCACTGAATATGATGTAATTGATTTTGAGTACACTTGTTTTGAAGTAATAACAATTCATCCAGCTAAAAGAAAAATTAAAATAAAGAAACTAAATTTGGAGCAATCTTACTTAAATGATAGACTGTTATCAATAATACTCAAGAATATTGAATCTGTAAACTATTTAAGAATTGGAAATGTTTCTGGCCGTTATCTTGAAAATAGTTTTACAGCATTTCCTAAAGAATTCAATAATCCAAAGGATGTCAGAGAATTAAAAATCAATCAAGTTGGATTGTCTGTATTATCTAAAACAATTGGGAGTTTTCTCAATCTCACTAAACTTGAACTTCAAGATAACTCCATAAGCTGGTTACCAGATGAAATTGTTAATTTAAAGCGTTTGGAAATTTTAATAATTGATAACAACTCATTAATGATGTTACCAGAAAATATAGGTTACATGGGTTCTTTAAAAATAATTAGTGCTCCTAATAATAGTATTTCTTCATTACCAGAATCAATTCGTTATTTAAAGTCCATAGAATACATAGATTTGTACTGTAATTATATAACAGATCTACCAAATCTATTTCATTCAACTTTAATCATTTTAAAAGGTCTAGATTTAGAACAGAATACAATCAATACCAATAACTTTCAGGTAATTATTTTTAAAATGTATCAAGTTATTCCTATATGAAAAATTCTACTAATAGAGTAAATATAAATTTTACATACTAAACTATATTATATTACAATACATTGTTTTCAATATCGACTACTTAAAATTTTAATGATCGCCACTTTAGATTAAATATATTCACAATCAATATTTGAATGATATCATTAATTCAATCTATTATTTTGATGCAGCTACCTGCATCATATGAAAGCTTACGGAACCAATTAGGAAGTGACAACAATGATTTGAAGTTACGAAGCATAGGCCCACGAGTTATTCAAGCTACTTCAGATGAAAGTCGAAATTCTTCTTTCCATGAACACATCTCTTCAGATTCAAATAAGAGTAGCTCGTTAGTATTAATATTTTTTTCATTAATTGGGACAATATGGATATTTTAAAATAATTCTGTTTTATATTTTTTCATAATATACTTTTTCAGATATAATAGTGATCAAAGCCAAAATAATTGGAATACAGAATATGATAGTTCAGATGATTTTGATCCATTTGGTCCTCCTAAAGTTCTTAATCAACGAGAAGCTTATATTATGCAGGATAAAATGCAATTTTGTCCAGCTGATATTCATCCTCGGCGCATTCGAGAAATCTTGGCTTCGAAAATTGGTAATAAAAAATATAGACCGTTTACACCAGTAGAAGGACAGTTTGATGATGCAGAATAATGACCTATATTTTTTTTTGTTTAAATTCTGTATTCTTTTACTCCATACTTTTATCAGTAGATATGAATATTTGTTCAATTAAATTAATTGATATTATTAGAAAAAACTTTATTTAAGTAGAAATATTATTCAAAATTAATTTATAAAATATATGATGCTTTAAAAATTGATTGAAAGTTCAAAAATAATATACTTGCCGATAAAAAATTTTGTTGAGCTGTAAGCACAATCTTAATCACAATTTATGTTTCAATATTCACTTAATTTCTCTTTGCCACTGAGTGTTAGCAATACTTAAAGTTAACTTTAAATGTTACCATTGACTCATTAAAAAATCTGTTTACAAACTTGCAATTCAAATTGAGTTAGTATTTTAGGTTAGATAGAAATTATTTTTATCGAAAAAAAAAAAACTGGATTTACATTTACTAAAAATTTTACTCATTTTAATAAATGAAATAGTTATCAATATAATTAAAATGAATTCAAAAAATGTGTAATCAACTATTTAAATAAATACGTATATATTCGTAAACAATTATAAATACACCAGTTTTAGTTTTAAAATAAAATAAATAAGTATATTAATTTTCTAATGATTGTCGAGCTACATTAATTCTTCCACTTAGTATTTTATAATTGTCCCATGTTACGTTTTGTACATAATTTTTTATATATTTTTCATTCATATCAATTTTTCTCATTTCACATGCGAAAGAACGTAGAATATTATTCAAAAGATCATTCCTGAATAGATCTTGTAATTTATTCAATGCAATGAGTCTTGCTTTTTGCCACCCAGCAAGATAAATGTCGTTGATAAGACTGTGGATACTTGCAAGATCTCTATCAAGAAGAGCTGCTAAATTGAGGAAAATTCTCGGTAAATCTTCGTTTCCACGATGAACAATAACGTGTCCTTCATTTACCGGAAGTTCGAGTAATCCTCTTCTTTTAATCATCACATTACCTGGTATACAGCTTAAAAGTTTCTCGAGTAGCCAAGTAACTTGTATTAAACTACCTTCTATAGTTGAAATGTCAGGAAATGGTTCTGTTAAACGCTCTGTTGCTGATTCCATGTCTCTAATCATTGAATTTTTTGCTCTAAATCCCTACAATCGATTTGGTTTCCAGTTGGATTTTAAAAAATTAAAATAATTATTTGAACTGATGTTGTTGACAAATGAAAATGAATATGTTGTTACATTTAAATTGAATATTTTTTGTCAACTAAAGGGTGTGAAAAAGTTTCTGAATTAATTAAAGTTAAAAAACAATCACTCCATAATGCCTAGATTATTCTATTGAATCAATGATGATCAATAATTATACTTTTTATATGACGATTATTTCTTTTGAATCATCAGAAAAAAAAAAATTTCAGCGGTAAATATTATTTCACCAAATAAAGAAATCTAAATCGATAAAAATATGAATTTTATGTGATTCGAAAAGAAATTTGTAAAATTAGGAAATGGTTATTTATAAACCACAACTAAAATGTGACTGTTATAAAGCTATGACTCATGAATAAAAAGATTAATAGCAAAACAAAAGCAAACATTACCTGTTGATAATATTCCAGAATGAGGTTTGTCAACATTGTTTCAACGGAATTAACGATCGCTTCAACGAGTTCCTGAGTAAATACATCTCTCGCTAATTTAATTGGTACAGGAAAATCTCTGGCACCTTCTATGAAATTTTTTACCACTTGTAGCATGTTTTCATCATCTTCTTGAGCTGTTGAAAAATAATAATAAATTTTATTATTTATTAATAAATAAACAACTGATATACCATTAAATTATTTAGCTTCTATAATCAAAGCTAGTTTAATTCTTTAAATAAACTCATTATTACAAAAACAAGAAATTTACCCTGAGACATTGCAGCCAAAAACATCAATATGACTATCGTGTACTTCATTTTACTCAATTCTGTGGTAACACAAGGTCTCAGCATTGATTATATACAATGACGGATGTTTATTAGTATAAGTGCAATAAAATCACGCAGATACCATCAATATTATTGCACAACTCATCATTTACTCTCTACATTGACATATATCAACCAATGATATCAAGTTCATGTTTTCAAAAATTCTTTTATAAAAATATTTTGCTTTAAAATTAGTTGTCTCACTTTTTCTTCATTTTTTAGCTCTTTAAAGTCAATTCAAGGTCTCGAGGTGATGACAATGACCTACAGGTTCTTTCTATTCACTAGATTAGCTTATTTAACCAAATATTATACCAAAATATTCACAGTTTAATTTTTATTTTAATATTAAAAGAATTTGCTGCGTCTGGTGATCTGATTTGAGTCTACGGATGCTCTTGGTGAAGTTTTTGTACCGCAGGTTTCATTAGTGCAAGGCTCCATTGATAATTTTTTAGGACTTTTTTCTTTAGGTGATAATTTTTCTCTAGGAGGTGATCTTTCTTTCAATGAAGAATCTCTTTTCTTTGGACTTCCAAAAAATGATGCTCTGATACATGTTCTTGGTGTGCTTGATTTTGAATCTTTTCTTTCCTGTGTAAGAGTCTCTGTTGAGCTGAGTCTTTTACGTTGATCTTTTTCTTTTCTTGATTTAGCTTTAGTATCCTTTTTTTTCATTGTGTTCAATTTTTGTGCTGTTGATTTTTTTCGGAGTTGATTAAAGTATAGGTTTTCCAGATTTTTTATTCTGCGAGAACGGCAAGCATCATCCTGACATAGAATGTTACCTAAAATGAATAGTTTAAATATTTTCATTTACTAGAATCATTAATATTATTAATAATAATAATAATAATAATAATAATAATAATAATAATAATAATAATAATAATAATAATAATAATAATAATGAATAAATAAATAAAAAATACCTTTAGAAACTGAACACTTGCAACACTTGCAATCAGGTCTATCTTTCCGTAAAATGTAACCACAGTTATCAGCAATATTCTTCATTTCCTTTAACGTCATTGTATCCTCATCCAAGCTTTTCTTTTTTTTCTTACTTGTTTTCTTCTCTATTTTCTTTTTATCTATTGCTATTGCTTTTTCAAATTTTTTCTTTTCATCTATACTTTTTTTGTTTTTTTTGGATTGGGTTTTAGAGGGCTTTCTTTCTGGAGTAGATGCTGTAGACAATGTCAATGAAGGAATTGATGAACTTCTTCGCCATCGACGAGGTGTTATATCAGTTATCCATTCACTTTCACTCTCTCTCGAAAAAGATTCATATCCTTTACATCGAGGATCACATCGTCCTTTACTCATAAAAGCATTCAATATTCTTTTCCCCGTTTTGTAGTGGAAAACAAGAGATAAAATCATTAATACCACTAAAACCACTAACAACACACCAATACATATAATCAACCAATGGGCAACAGAAACTTCATCGGAATTTGATTTTTTTGAATCTCTAAATAAAACAAAATCATAAATATCAAATAATTAGTTTTTTCGGTATATGATGATCATGAAATAAAAATATGTTAATTAGTATTTAAATCGTATAAAATCTAATTTTGATAGTTTTAATTATCAAAAAACTAGCAAAAACTTTCGTAATAATAATTATTAAAATTAAATATTTTTACAATGTAGATGAATCGAGAATTTAAATATTCATTATCAGCTTCTTATCTAATGCTATAATTAATATAAAATTGATATAAAACAATTACTAATAACTCATTTAGAAATTTTCAATAATTAAACTAATATAATTGTAGTATCATAAAGTGTAATATTTAAGAGCAATAAATTTTCTAAAATAAATCTAATTTCAATATTTAAAAAAATTATTTAATAATTTTAAAATGTCTTGTATATAATATATATTTTAATCATGTCTTATCATAAAAAAAATTTCTTATTTTTTTACTTTCTTCTAGTAATAAAAGATATACACAAATCAATAAATAATCTTACTCAGACACAGTTGCTGCACGAATTTGAAATTTATTTTGGCTTGTTGACAGTTCTTTAGATTTGATATTTTTTGAATTGGCTATTTCTTTTTTAATTAGATGTTTGTCTATACTTGACTTGGAATTTGAATTATTTACAATTACTTGCTTTTCATAGAATTGATTTTTTTTTAAATTATCATCATCATTACTCTCTCTTTCTGGGCTAAATTGTGATAGCAAACGTTTGGAGTACCTCTTGGGTAAATATTTATTGTACAAATATAAATCTCCAGGCTTGATAAAATTGTTTAATATCCGTATTAATCTTTTATTTCTTTTGATAAAATTAGCTAAATCTGTTCGACCAATGTGAATTAAACTTTTAACCACATGAGCACGTGCTTGTTCATTGTTGTCTCCTTGAAAAAGTTTTTTTTTAATTTTTTAGATACTTATCATATTAAATGCTGTACAGGAGAAAACGAATGTAAAGTATAAAGTTCTACCTGGAAACATACGATTCCATTGCTCTAATTTAAGACGGCAATCCTCTTGAGTCAGTTCAATCCTTGAATTCTCATTCTTTCCATCTTTTACCACATAAGCTGGAGTTCTCAAGTATATTGACTCTAAAAGTTCCATACACTCTATAGGATGTAATTTTCGTGACAAGTGTTCTAGTTCTGCTGGGTTGAAGTCTGCTAAACCTTGAATTCTCCATGTTCTCTATCAATAAAATTTATTTAATTAAAAAATAGAATGTAATTAATAAAGAAAAATTAATTGTGTATTACTTAAGAATATTTTTAAACTTATTCTAGAACAAACCTGTATTAAAAATATTGTTAAAATATAAAAATAAGATACAAATTTCATTGCAAAACATGTATAATTATACAAAATGCCATTAACTTATACAAACTAACGTCAAACGTATAACAATTGAATTTCTATTTATGAACTTCATATCATATCATTCTTTCAAGTGTAATTTTATAACCTTTTACAAGTATTCCAATGCTTTGGGCTATTGTGTTTTTATTTTTTACACTTGTATTTAATTTTTAACAGTAATTCACTATTCTGTCTCAAATATTTATCTATTAACTGTTTATTTATTTTAGAATCCAATGATAAATATACAAGCAAAATCAAAAGCAATATTGGAATCAAAATTAAATCCTTCAGACCTTAATTTATTAGACAACATTTTAAAAAAGAATAATGGTAATCTTAATATTTTTGATAAATATTCTGAAGAAATAAAAGAAAAAACAAAAGGAGAAAAAAGTACCGAAGAGAGTTCACCATTTGAACAGTAATCTTTGTTCTCTTATTTTAAAATTAAGTAATCAAAATTTATTTGATGATTTTGTTAGTTTTATTCCTCTAGATCCGGATGATAAAACTGAAATAACACAGCCGAGAGATGAGCGTGGTAATGTCAAGAAGCATAAGAAAAAGTTTGTCGATGCAAGAACTATCGAAAAGTGGAAAGAAAAATTTAATGAAAAATATACAATCTCTTTACCAATCCTGATTATTATCATGGTGTTTACAGTTTGTGCAACATGTTTTTGTACTCTTTGTCTTCGAAAAAGACTTGTAGCACTAAGTCGCTGCTGTTCTTTTTGGAGGAAGAAAAAAACGTAATTATTTATAAAAGTTGCTCAAATTTTTGCCAAGATATCATATGAACACTTGACATTAAATCGAGATAGTTTAATTATATAGAAAACTTTTAAACAGATATTTCAATAGAAAAGTAGTTATTTTTAATCCAAAAACATAAATGATTCAGTTTAAGTCTTCACTAACATCCGTAGTGGATGATCTCATTATTTACTGATTGCGCATCATCTGATTTCTCGATTACAGTTGAGTTGCAGATGGCGTATTCTGTAAACTTTTGTAGTATTTTCCGTTGGTGCACTGATTAGGAATTCAAAATAACTTTGTTTTATTGCTTTTTTTTTTACATTTAACTTAATATCACTTTAAATTATTTCTATCAAAAAGGTTTCATTGATTAAACGTAATAGTAGATCAAGTGTTATATGCAAAGTTTAGGTTATTTATGAGAACTTTATAAATTTTTAACTCTTAATTAAATTATTCTAATTTCATTAATTAACAGTTTTAACATTGATCAAAAGTTGTGACATAATTCATATTAAATGACACACAAAGTTTAGCATCACACTTCTGATTTATTTTAAATAATATGCTACAAAATTCTGTTTAATAGGTAGAGAAAAATTTTTCTCAATGAAATATCATTTTTCAATTAATAATTTGATTTTTATAGAACTTCTGACAAAGATATAGAAAAAGGAAAGAGATTGTTGAAATTTAAAAGAACTAAACCAGCAGTTACTACATCAATGCTACAGAATCGAGCAAGATCATTATCTGAAGACTATGTTGACAGGGGTATACAAAATGTTGAACTATCAGTTGCAAGGGAAATGACTCCACCTATTGGTTGTTGTGCTTGTTGTAAAAAGAAACGTAAACAAAAGAGAAATAAATGATAACTCTTATATTGATTGAATACTTACTTCATTTTTATATTCAATGTATAAAATTGTGAAACAATGAATTGCTATTCAATCGTTACTAATTCCATTCGAAAATGAATATATTTAATTTATTACCATTTATGATAAAAATTTTACTAACAATAGTTGAAGTGTTTTCTACAATAGACGTAAATATTGGAGAACTCCAGTATTTAGCTATTCATTTAGATCCTTACGAGTGTCGTCGATTGATAGCTGCTCTTCATTATACATCTTATGATTTACCCAAAGATATTTCGGGTGCAGGTAAATTATTGATCTAAAAATTTTATTATTAAATTTACTTATAGAAAAGTTAATAATGATAATCAATATTTTTTGAAGTTAGAAAAGTACATGAAGATATTCCATGTTTTCAACATCTTCTTCACTGGAATACTTCTCCAACAGAAGGAAGAGGAAAAACTCATGCAGATTTGGTACTGCGACTTCGCCAACTAAATCGCAAAGATTTAGCAGATTGGTTAAGCAAAATAGTATTTCAAAAACTTGGTAAAGATGTTGTTAGGTCTATTGACAAATCATTCGAGGAACTAGGGCAAACAGATAATAAAACTCAGTAAGAAATTTTATGAACTTTTTTATTTTTATTATTTTTTAACAAAAAATTTAATTAAATTCATAAGTTTACTAAAATTATGTATATATATATATATATATATATATATATATATTTCTGTTATTAAATTATAGTCTAAGTACAGTCTGATACAACAAAATTCCTTGTTACTGTCTTTTTCATGCAATGTTCATAAAATAATTATTCTTGCATAACGGTGTCTGATTTTTATGTCATAAAATTTTACAGGTATTTTATAATAGATGAAATTTCTGAAGAACCCGAGATTGATGCTTTGGACACAGTAGATACATTTCTAATGATAGTGCTTGGTGTTTCATATGTCTGTTTGATAGTTTTGATGATGATGTTAATTATACATCGTTGCAAGCAGTATTTTTATGCTAAAAGAAAGCGATCAAAGGCAACGAAGATATGTAACCAAGATACATGTATTCGAAAGAAAATCATACCAAAGGAAAAAGAAGATGATGATGAAACTGATGATATAAATGAAGAAAAACTTTTACTTTACAGCAAAGCTGATGCAAGCACTAGTATTAATACATCAGAAACAGACAATCAGATGAATGACTAAATATTATTTTTATAATCATCAATACCACTATTTATTATCTGAATCATTTGGTCTAGAGCTCGAGCCCACAATTTAATGACATTGTCATCATTTTGGTTATCACTAATCAATTTCCAGGTAATATTCATTCTTTTTTTTAAGACAGCCGTAAGTGGATCTTTTACACGCTACAATAATTTTTATTATTTATTAGTTTTACATATTAACTCTGTAATAAAAATTTTAATCAAGCCCAATAAGAATACGATTGTTGCTTACATTAAAGTGATCAGCAGTAATTTTTCCACTTGATCGTTTAGCGTGTCTTTCTCCGGTCATTTTTAGTATCATCGTGAACAGCTGGATATCATTATTTAAAAATGCGTCAACGGCATTATTAATAGTGCTCATAATCATTTGACAGTGAGCGTGGAATTTTTTATTTCCTTTCAATTGATCTTTGGGCAAGTCTTTAAAGTCAGGAAACATTTGTTTGATATCTGGATAAGCGTCAAATAAACTAAAGTTGACAAAAAAATAATTTGAGAAATAATTAAATTAAATATTAATTTCATAAAATTAGTTCACAATTTGAATAATTTTTATTAAATTTAAATTAGCTACAGTTTATTTTTAATCACAAAGATTGAAAATATTTTCGTTTTCATCAATTCAATTAATTATTTTCATTCAAAGATAAATAATTATCTTAATAACATTAAGAGCTAATATGCTTTGTTTTTAATAAAACTGATCATCACACACCCTTTAACATAATAATAGCTATTGAAATCCAAAGTAGTATTATATCAGTAGAAAGAGGTATTCATACCTGAGCATGGTTTCAACGCCTACATCAATAAGATTTGGTCGAATATACTGATCCCATGATTTTCTCATCATTTTTTGTTGTCTTAATGAGAAACCTGTTTCTGAATTGACGGTATCATTTTCTAAACGAATCTGATCTTCACGACGTAGAAAATAACTAACAAAAGAGCCCATATTTATTCTGTAAAAACTTCGCGAATGAAAGAGCTCGAGTGCTTTCACGAGACTGTTTCAGGAAACTTAAGCGGTTACTTTTTATACTATACATAACTGTAATAAAATGTTTAAATTGATAACATATTTCTTCTGATATAGAAGCTCTGAACATCTTACAGTGGCACGTTCGCTGACACAATAGAAATATTTATATTACTATTCATATGACAAATGAAAGAGAAAAAATAAAAAAATATTATAAAATAATTATATAATTAATTTCATTATATGAATTAATATATTTCAACGTTTACAATTTTACAATTGTACAGAATATTTTTTGCATATTCATCGCATATTATTATTTTTATTATTATTATACAATGTACATAAAATAACACTTGAAGCATTTTTTAAATATTCATTTACTTTTGTTAATTAAGATTGTCGTCGCGGGAGAGCATTATCCACAAATAAATATATCTGGGTTTACGTGCACCTCACAGACTGATACGATTGAGTCTTTGTCGTTGTCATCATTGCTGCACTTGCAGAGAGCAGAGAAGAATATAAAATATCATAAAGCTGCTCTGCATTCTTTATTATATTCTCTGCATATCCTTTTCTGAATCATTACGCTGATAAAAATTCAATATCTGCGTTGTACGCCATTCAGGTCAACAAAAGCAAATATAACACTAAGGTAAGAATTTTTTCTATTATATAGACTGTGAAACGAAGGCAGAGATAAGCCATAAAGCTTTATAAAAAAGCTTATACTATGATATACATATCTAAAGTACTAGTTTCTAGAATTTAATCAATTCTATTTCCAAATTTCTCTAAATGATTCTATTTATTTTTTTTAACAAAATTTATCTAGTTGTTATACAATTTTATATTTAATAAAAACTCTACTTAGCAATGTTTTTAATTTACGATCTTATCTCTTCTTTCACTTCATTTGAAATGCAAATTTTTATACAAAATAAAATAAAAATATCCATCATTAAGAAAAAAATTAATTTCAACATCAAGGTATGCTTTAATGAGTATAAAAAAAAATTTTTTATTTGTAACATAATTTGTCATAAAAAAATGTCTTCAAAATTAAAATCTTTGAGACACAATGAAATTTATTTAATATAAAAATATATATTTTAAATAGAAATAAAATGAATTTGTCATTGAAATAAAAATATTTTTCTCAAGATATTATTCGATAAAATTCGATTGATAACAAATGCAAAGACACATCGTGTGTATTATTCGATAATGATGATTATCCTCTAATAGATTAAAAAAATCAGCAAACACTTTTATACGATTTAATTCGGAAATTGCGGTAGATAGAAGTTCTTAGCACGTGACAACGATCAAGCAATTTCCTGACGCGATCAACTGTGCCGGAAAACGAACGTTATGCTCTCGGGCGTGGTTGGGGTAGTTTTATTAAATTTTCCCTTTGGTTATTAAAAAAGAATGTGTTGTTAGGAAGAAAGACCTTTGAAAATATAAGAATATGCAGCGTCAATTGTTTTTATCCAAGCATTTTCAGCTTCTTGCGTGAACTTGTTACCCAATGATTGGCGTAGAACATCTATAACCACTTGCTTCAAGTGCTGAAAGATTTCATCAATATTAATAATACTGAGATAGAATAAAATGCTTATTATGACTAATTAATTCATTTTTATTTTTTTCAGAATACTGGAATTGATTTGTTAATTAAATATTGAATAGTAAAGCTGCAAGAAACGATGTGGAAGAATTTAATGACCTAGTATTTTAATTGACGAGTGTACACATGGTACCTTTTTATGTTTATTATTCAACAGTATTATTGTATTTTAAATTAATAGCTCTACCTTTTGCTTTTTTTTTTTTTTAAATTTTTTTGTTAAATACAATTATTTTCAAAAAGTACTTCAAAATATTAAAACTCGACCAAGAATAAATACTTTCTTTTTTTGTTATCAATGATACAATACATCACTATTTTTCGTGAATGATTCATTAATCAAATATTATTGAATATGTTTTTATTTCAAAGTAATTCTCAATTTTATTGTGAACTCTGATATAAAAATTCAAAACAAAGTATATAAGTAAGTAATGTTTCCTTGAATAAATAAAAAATAATCTTATCGATAAAAATTGAGTGATCTGGGGATTCACTGTCATAATAAATGTCACAGTATTTTTTAGTCAATTATTTAAGCAGTTTCAGTTATAGTTCTATGAATAATAAAAAATTAAGTAATTCTAAAATATTATTTACAGAGTTTTTAATTAAATCATTAGATAGTTAATTATCTTATAATTATTTAATAAATAACTTATCTAAAACTCATTCTTATTCTAAAAGCCAATTTTTGACCGAAAAGAAATTAAGCAATTTATTGAGAGAAATGATAACTGTTTCTAGAAATAGCATCTCAATATGTACTATTTTTATTGTTTTAATGGCTTCTAGCGGTATATTCACCTCATATTACGACGTATGGTGAATGATGAAGCAGTTAAAGTGATTGAGATACTTCTAATACCGGTAAAGACTAAGAGAATTTTAGAGTAAGGGCGAATTTTATACCATAAATCAGAAGGCAATTATTGACCTTCTTACATAACTTTTTTCCGTCTAAAAAATAAAAGTCAATTTTTTATTCTGACAATAAACTATTAATTTAAAAAATAAGATCTTTAAAAATAATCACAGTTAATTTTTCACTTAATTACCTTTGTTTCTATTAATCAACTAAAAAACATAAATTTTCTTGCCTAATATTTATTTTTCATAATTATTCAAATAGTCCTCTACAAGATAAACAATTTATAATAAATTATTTTTTTCAATTATGAGTGTGTTTCATTTCTTTATACAACTGTAATCAATCATCTTTATAGGCTGAACTATCTACATAATGATAGCAGAATAATAAATAAATTCATAACCGAAACCTTAATAAAATAAGAGTTAAATAATACTCAAATATTAAGATAAACAGTTCAATTATTACAAAAAAAAAAAAAAAAATAAAAAATAAAAATATCAAGTTAAATAAATACAAAGAAGGTTAACTAAATAAAAAAAGATCTAACTCACAAGGAATTGTTGCGTTGTTTGTCCTCGTCGACCATGACGTTCTCCAAGACTAATGAGCGTAGCTTCTAGTAATCCAACATCGGTTAAGGCATCAACAGTACTATTTAGTGCAGTAACAACGTTTAGCGCGTGTGCTTGAAACTTTTTATTTTCAGGTAAATCTTTATGGGGAATATCTTTAAAAGCAGGAAAAAAAGCTTGGTATTCTGGATAATGTTTAAAAAAGCTAAAACAAAAATAATATATTTACTGTATGATTAATATGTGCAGAGTGAAACTGACTAACTTAATGATGATGAGCTGTCATAGTGATAGATTTGAATGAGAATCACGAGCTCTTAAAGAGACACTGGCTTGCATATTTAGTAGGAAAGATATTGAAACCATTAGTTTTAGTATATTAACAATATATTGGTTTTATTTCATTGTTATAAATGATTTCTTTGTTTCTAAATCATAATCTACATTGATCAACAAACATCAATAATCATTGATTCATTATTCAGGTTAATAATCATCGTTTTTAAGCGTGAAAAATGAAGTATGAAAGCAAACAATGATAACCAAGAAAAAAGGAATTCATAAATAATTTTGAATAAAGAGAACTAAAATCTGGACAAAGTGATAAAAATAAATAAATTTAAGGAAGAATTGATATGACCAAAGTAGTGTGATCGATCGGTTTTTCATTGTGTTAGCGGCATAGGGTGTGCTATTAACACATCTCGAGGCTATATGCCACCACCGCGGATTGGTCGCTTAGAACTTTATAATTGCTCTTAGCTAGAATGACGATTAATCGAGAATCGATAGTGAGACAGAGAGATGCATTGAAAATCTGTACGGAAGCTAGAGATGGAAATATGTAATATAAGCTTTTAGTTTGTTACCCTGACATTATTGCGATACCGGAAGCCACGGGATCCTTTCTCACGATTGCCCATGTACTCTGTACAAGCTTTATCTCTCGTCCAGTCAATCCTGTTACAGAATCAACCACATCATCGTTTGAATGTCCCCAGAATTTGCGCCAAAAATATAAGTATTCCATCTCGATTATCTACAAATTAATACATCTTTATTTTATTTTTATTCTATACTTTATTTGTTTCTTTAATTTTCTTTCATCTGATTCAGAATTTATTGTATTCTAATTCAATAAAAGCTTTAAATTCTTTCACAGTTAACTTGTCTTTGTTTATTTAAAATTTCTATCAATACAATCATTTATTTAATTAATTTATTAATTATGAAATTAAAAAATATTTAAGCAATGTTTACTTGTATTTGAAGTTGGTCAGTATTTGGTAATACACTTAAATTTAATAGTAATAACACCGGTAAAGTCTAAAAATGAACTGATAAATATACGTATATATGTATGTATATAATTGAATCTATTAATTAAAAAATCAAAGCTTATGTTGTGGAATTAGATCAAACTAATCTTCTTTAGTAGAAATCAAAATTTCTATGAATATGGATCATGATTATACATATTCTCATTAAAAAGTAATTAAGATTGTCCGTTACCACACACTCAATTTCACAACAATCAGATAATTAATTGTCAATCAATAAAATCAAAATAAACCTTTCTAACAATAGCTGTACAATTCAAATTTAAATCCTGACTATTTAAACTTATTTATTGAATAAATAATGAAAACTTACATATTAATTTAATGTTATTTAATCCTCTCACAATATTGATGATAAAAAACAGCAATGTCACGTAACAAGTTCAAGTGGTTTAGCGTAATAGGTGGTTAAGATCGCATAGATCATGGATCAATCTTAATAAAAAAGAATGTAAATATTACTTTGATAAGAATCGCGCTAAAAGTGCGCAATCGTTCTTTACTGGCTCGCTACCCGGGTCCGACTAGATCTATCTTTCAATAACGCGCATCACGATACCCTTCGAGACTCTCTCGCCGCCCCAACCACCGAATCCCACCGCGTGTTCTCTCTCTACCACTCCGCGAGGTCGCCGAAAGGAAAATGCGCGCAAGCTAGTGCATCGATAAAAATTGATCCCAACCCCCAGAAAATTAAACAAGCAGGTAGTATGAGAAAACAGAGTATGTAATATTATCAGCAATATTCACTATTTCGTTAAGTAACCAGGGTGAGTGATACATTCATTTCAAGGTTAAACGACTATTGACGCTTGAACGTTGGTTTCATTTCAAGTTCAATTTAGAGAATCAGTTCAACTCTTTGTTCAAGTATTCTTTTTTATTCTTTTCTTTTTGGAATTCACGATTCATTTTAACTCAGATCATTCTTCTTTTGAAACATTCAATGGCTCAGCAGTGACAGAATAAAAATAGAGTATCCTAAAAAAATGTATTACAATGTAAATAAATATTAATTGTATCAAATTTAAAATATAATGGATATATTTAAAAAACATTAGTGCAGTTAAAAGCTTTAGAAATATATTCGATAAAAGTAATAAATACATAAGTAAAATCATTATTTTTAATGTTTACATCGAATTATCATTGTTTTATTCATAGACAGGTAAATTATTTATCAAGAAAAATTTATCTTATTCATTATATTATTAAAAGTAATGGAATTTTTAAAATGCTACTTATCCCAGTAAAGTTTATTATTTGTATAGTCATTAAGATAGCTTTTATTTCAGCTATTTGTTTATGATAAATTTATGAACGAAATAAATGAAAATGAATGAGTACTTACAATCATTATCTGCTGTCATTCAGGATTATTTTTTACGCAACTTGATTAATTATAACATTATTTATAGCATTAAAAAAAATGAGATTTAATTCATAAATATCATTTTTATTTATAAAATTATCATATTTTTCGTTTATACGATAATAAGTATTCAACAAACAGGAATTTTACTTAAAGCATCAGCATACTGAAACTCTGTACTATTTTCATATTCACACATATCAAGAGCAATTATACAGCTCTCTCGAACCACTCGTTTATCATCAATTAAATAATCATTCAGAATTTGTTGACAGTCAGGATGAGCGATTGATCCTAAGGCTTCAGCACACTCGTGTCGGACCATTTCATTTTCCGTTGGATCTTCTAATGATGCTCGTAAGTATGGTATTGTTATCTCTTTTTGGAGTTGACCCAAAACGAAAGCAATTTCATGTCGAAATAATGCACTTTTGGCTTTTAAACCTTTAATAAAACATAAAATTATTTTTGAAATAATAAATATATTCTAATAACATATCTAACTACTTTTCGAAGTAATCTTGTGTTGAATTTACCTTCTGCCAAAGTTAAAACACTTTGCTCAGTGTTTAAATTTCTTAAGGAAAACATTGCTCGGTATCGTTGGAACAGAGACTGATTTTCATCTAATAGGATCTTTTTTAAATTCTCCACATTATCATTTACATGAGGTGGAGCAGGATCTACTGAGGCGTAAGGATTTTGAGATAAATTTTCAGTTGAGTTCCCAGATTTCAACCATCTAATTCGTTCTAAGGCCAGTTGACACGTTTCTGCTACTTCAATAACTGGATCTCTACTGTATTCTTCTAATAATGGAATAACACTTTCATCACCAATTGCACCTAATGCTTCACCTATGAAATTTAGAAAAGTTCAATGAGAGTATGTTGCATAACAGATAGTGATAATAAATCATTTCTAAGGTACCTGCTTCATGTCTAACCATTGGTTCTTGATTAATGTCTTTAAGTACTTCAATCAGCACTGGATTCGCATTGGAATCTTGCATTTGCCCTAAACAATACGCGAGCTCATGTTTCAATAAAGCAGATGGATCTTTAAATCCATCTTTTATACATGCTATTGCTTCGACGCCACCAATATTTTTTAAAGTGAATAATGCTCGAAATCTTTCTTTGAGAGGCCTTGATTCATCAACTAAGATATTGCCAATCGCTTTTATATTTTCACTATTCACTTTAGTTGTCATTTTTCTCAAATTTAGTCGAGTCTTGGAAAACTAAATTAAATTGTAAAAATTTCGTTAATTTGATAGTAAGGTTAGAAATATTCAATCAAAGTATTTAATATAAAAACGGACTATAAGTACTGTTTTTTATGCGTTAGTTTTTTTTAATATATTATATAACTTTTATAACATTAATAAAATAATTTTACTGTTTGAAATGTTGTGAAGATTTAAAATACGAAAACACTTTTTGACAGTGTCACTTTGAAATTCGAGGTTAACTCACATGTGAATGTGATGTTAAGGTTAGGTACGGAGTAAATACGGCTTTTTTTTTATTCAAAAAATGGCTAACACTAGATTGGAACGGATTGGAACGATATACTCTCGGTAAAAGAATAATTTTATATAAAATCATTACTAAAAAAATCTTTACAAAAATTATAATTGCATAAATATTAAATTTTTTGATATCCATTAACTTTTAAACCTTTTAAGTATTTCCGTTAATAGGTTATGTATTTTTCATTTTATTTATTTTTTTATTTTATTTATTAATATTAGTTATAAATAAACGGCTATACAATATTTTTACTCTAAAATAAAATTTACTCTTAAAAACATTGGTTCCATAAATGATTGTCAATCAACAGTTCTTTTTCTATCTATCAATCGGTCGAAAATATTGTTATATTCTTTTTTTAAGATTAACATTGTTTTTCTCAGGGTAACGTCTCTTTTAGAAGGAAAAGCATGGACTTCAGAGCACATACCAATTTGGTACAACATTTATAAAGCTTTTCCACCTAAATTAGAACCTAAATATGACAGAGTTGCTCCAAAAATCGAAATCAAGGATATTTTTTATAAAGAAGATATCATCAGAGCGTAAGAATTTATTATTTATTTATTTTACGTCTTAGATAAATAATATAATTTATTTATTTTAGGAAATTTCAGAAAGAGTATAATAATTATTTGAGATATGACTTTTTCAAAAGTGATACTCCATCAATAACACAAAAATTCTTAGCGGTTTACAATGATTTAGAAAAGGTAATAATTATGATTCATAAAGAAATTCCATACTCTAATGAATAATAATTATCTTTTTTTTATTAATACTAGAGTGGAATAGCAGAAGAAGAGCTTTATGAAAAAGCTATAGAAAAATTCAAATTACAAAATCCAAATTTCGGAGCTAAGAGGCAAAGCGTATTAGAATCATCAGGAAATGCGAAAAATACATCTGAATCTGATAAATTAAAACAATAGAATGGATGAAATATTAGAGAAAAACTAATTTTACAAATTGAATACCGTATAAAATATGACTATATGTAATAAATAGAAAGATTGATTAAGAATAAATTTACTTTTAACGTCACATCTATCTGAATAGAAATGAATTAATTATGTTATACTAATCTTCTGTTATTTATTAAAATTATTTTCCTCTTCTATAAATATTTTACATACAAAACAAAATATCAGATATATTTACTGTTAACTTTCATAAGTATCAAATTCAAAAAAAACTAAAAATCAATTTCAATTACTTATAGAAAATACATTTATTTATTATCAACTAAATTAGGAAGTGAAACTATTCCAGCTTGCATAAATGATATTGTTGCTTCAGAAACAAATGCAAAAACTACGGCAACACTTTCGCCGTCTTGTTGCAGTCTATTTAGTTCAACTGGTTGTGGAAAATTTTTATTGATGCTGAAAGTAATAAATTCATTTAATTTAATTCAAAAAGAATTTATCAATCTAATTGAATTCAAATTTTATGAATTGTTAAAGAATTTCTGAATAGAAATAATTCTCAACAAACCTTGTTATTACTAGATGAAACATTGGTGGACCGGGACTCGATTTTTTATAATTCTGCGTATTTGAATAAACTTTATAAGAAATTTTATATTCCCCTTTCTTCTTCCTAACAGTCTTTTCTTGAGCAGGTTTAATAATTTTTAGCCTTTCATAAACTTCTGCAAAAGTTTTTACATTTTTTATATTGATTAATGGTTGAACTGTTTGCTCTACAACTTCTACTTCACTACAATCCATTTTATCATCTTCATCTTCGATAGTTATCGTTTTTGCTTCTTTCCATTTTTTCTTCAAATCTGACCAAGAACTTGCTGGTATTTTAAGGAAAGATGTTTGATCCTTCTCATCACCATTCAATTGATTAGAAGATTTAGCTTTAATTTGTAAAATTTGTTTTGATTGTGGATATCTCTCAGTAATTGAGAGTGGTGTTTGCGCAGAAAAAAATCCCTGAGAACCTGAAAATCTCGAAAAATTGGAAAATCTCATATTAAACCTCCCGTACATCATGTTATTACGTATATGTTGTTGATAAATATTCATAGTATTTTGTATCATCGATGATGTACGTGATGCAAAAGTAGTCATTGCAATATTTCTGTAAAAGTTGAGATGAAACAAAGGCCATCTGTTTGAGAGAAAATTTGGCCTATAAACATTTGTACCTGTTGAACAACTAGCCATAATTTTATGTTGAATAAAATTATTTGAAGTACATCCACCACGAGAGAATTGAGAATTAGAAAATCTGTTTGAATAAAAATAATTCCCTTGACCATTTTGAAAAAAAGACTGTTGATAATCATCCTGCCAAATTTGATTGTCTCTCAGGAGAGTATTTGACCAAGGTCTTGATCTTTCAAAAACATGTGTAGATACTGTAGACCTAGAATTCGAGTGTAATGATAATTCCGTAGAATCGCTCTCACAAGAATGTTCTTGATTGTTTTCGGTAATTTCACTAACTTCCGAATCAGTATTTTCATCTGAATGCCTAGATTGTCGCATTCGACTCAATTGGTCACGATCATATTCATAAAAATTTTTTTGAAGTTTTATACTTGGTGGAATGTAATTTTTTGAAATAACCTGGGTTATAGAATCTTTAGATGCAATGTTTGGAAAACAATTCAACATTTCCATTCTTGTCATTGCAATTGGAATTTCTTCGATATCATCATCCGATAACTCTATAATTTCATGTTTGGATTTTTTATGTAATTTTGGATCAATTGATTCAGACTTTCGTTTATCAGAATTTTGATCTGATGTTTTTTTATCATTTTTAGACTGGTGTGAAGAAAAGAGCAAAATTTTTTTATCTGTTCTTTTTGGCAAGAGTTTGACATTCCTTTGAATTCTTGATCCAGGCCAAGTAAATTTTGTATCACAATCTGGATCCAAAGATTTATTTGGAGGTATCATTAATTTTACTGGCTCGACTACAGTCTCTTCTGATACTATTTCTAATCGAGGTTTACTTCTTTCCTTTAATTTTTCTTTTTTCTCTTCATTTAGTTCATCATCATTTGTGTCAATTTTACTACCGCCATTCTTTTGAATACGAACTTCTTCAACAGATTTTTCACTATTACGTAACTCATTTTCTTTTATTTCTATTTTATCGATAATACTATTTATTACTTCTTCAACGCCCTTATTTTCTTCATTACTCTTGGCTAAATCTAAATTATGGCTAGTGGAATGCTCAGAAACACTTCCCATCCATTTGCCATTTTCAGGATCTATAATAACTTTTTTTTTAGGCTGTAAAGATTCTTCAAGTTTTTCAGCAGTTGTTTTGCTGTAATAAAATTTTTGCAAACGATACCCTAATCTTGCTAATTGACTAAAAACTCTGTATTCATCTAATGTACACCCTGAATTAGGTGAATTGATGAGTAATTCATAAGCTTGTTGGATTGAAAGAGATACTCCATCGCATGTCAACTCTAAATTATTCTGTCAAAAAAAAATTAATATAATTAAAATAAACTTTTTTTTTTTTTGTTAATAAATAAAAAACTAATGATAAATTTACCGTTTCTAGAAGTAATAAAGCTTCTTCAGGAATTAAATAAGTAATGGAATTAAGAGTATGTCCATAATTATTCCAATCAATTCCTGATTTCTTGGTAACTTTTGCTCTCTTTTCTTCAGGTATCCATTGTGCTGACGCCATAGCGGATATTCGGTTTACTCTCTCAAGTTTCAGTAAATCTTTAGTTGTTTGTAAATTTGTATCTATCTGTTTATTTTCAAGCCAAGATCCATTTGGCTCAAAAAATTTATCTCCTCTCGTCGGAAGCACTCTAGAAACTTGAGTATATTCATCCAATACTCTTGTATATATTCCTCTGGTTTTTAACAGCTCGTCCACTCTAAAAATATTTTTTCTCATTAGTCTATTTACTCATCGTATAATTTAGAATTAATTAATAATTTAAAGTGCCGGCATTACGGTAAATACAAAAACAGGTTATGAATTATAAAATAATTCATTTGGAGCTTACGTTAAGTGTTTGTCTAATAATTCTTCGTTACTTTCATTCATTTTGGTATAATAATAATAATTATAATGATAAACACTAAATCACAATTATTAGTTTAATATAAAACTATTTATAAAATAATATGACATATTTAAGTTTTTAGAGCATGCTACACGTTAAAATGTTTACACAAAATTATTTACCGACTGATTTGTGTTATATTTAAAGTTAGTTTTTCTACTTCATCTTAAGATGGCACTAGTTTCGCCTTCTATAGATCAGCTGATTAACTTTTGACAGCTGAAATCGTAAACAAATAAAGTTTCTTATTTGTTTTATTATTATGTTTTTTTTTTTATTTTTTCAAATATAGTTGCGTGTGAATTTAGTCATTCTATTATTAATATATGTGTCATTTATTTATCATAATGTCGAATATATTCGTACAGTAAGAGATAAAAAAATCTTCAATGATAAAAAACGAACTTACTTCTGACATGGAAAATGCTGAATTCAAAGTTAAACGAAAGTATTTTAAATTAGAGGATTTTAAAAGATTTTATATTACACAAAGAAAATTCGAAAATCAGTACTCTAATATTTATAATTGTCGATTAAATGCTCTAAAGGAAACTCTAAAGAATCGAGCTATAGAAAATTGGGGTAGGTACTCATATATTTACTTTTATGACAACAATCATTATATGCATTATATCCCGTTTTTATTAATATTGTATTTTACATAATTACAACCAACTTTTAATCCTAACAACTACTTAGAAGTTCATAACTAAAGCATTAAAAGATTTCAATGTTTTGGCTTTCATGCCTTTTAAAAGTTTGCAAATAGTTTTCTGGAAACTCCAAGTTAATAGAAAATCAATAAATTGATTAAAAACTTAATTGCCTTGGAGAGCAATTTCATTTTATGCTTGAATCAAGTCTTGTGGACTATTGACAAAATTTTATTTTTAGGTCGTCATGGAATTTTTCAAATATCCAATCTTTCTGAACTCGACAATAGTAGAGAACAAATCATTATTATAGGTACTATATATAAACATCAAGAATTAAAGCCATCAATTTTGAAAGAACTCAGTAATGAACTTCAATTAATTCCTCAACCTACACGATCAAACTTTTATTCTGATAAGGATCAATTATTTCTTGAGGATGAAATGCTCAGAGTTAAATTGTCAGGTTGCCACATGGATCCTAAAACTATGTTAACTGGTTGTGTATGTGCTGTCATAGGCTTTTTACAAAGTGACGGAACTTTTTGGGTTTGTTCATAACTTTACTTACAACATAACAAGCAAAAAAATGTATTATGCCTATCATGTTCATAAGTAATAATAATAATAATTAATTTAAAATTGATTTGTATCAGGTTGAAGATTATTGCATGCCAGGAATGATTGTAAAACCATCGGTGTCCTTCTCTTCAAAAATGGAGGGGAAAATACTATTTCTATCAGGACTAAATCTAGCAAGTAACCCTAATTCAATGCATTATGAACTTTTAATAGAATGGATAACTGGAATGGCAGGGAATAGTGAAACTCAGCAAGATGTTGCATCTATTGCTTTAGTAATTATTGCCGGTAAATAATTGATTGACAGTTTAACTAATGTTGACTAAACAGTTTTCATCAATAATGCTATTAATAATAAACGGAATTAATTAATAATAGATAATAAATTCTGTTATGAAGAACAATTAATCAAAATATTGAGACAAGATGAAATTAAGATGACATTAATTCTGTATGACAGGTAATAGCGTGAGAGGGTCAATGGAAATTTTTAATTATAAAGGATATTCCGAGGCTAAAAGTAAACGAGAAGAATCTATTTTAGAAACAATATTAGCGACAAACAAATTTGATGATTTACTGAGTGAAATTGTAAAAACATGTTGTGTTCTTGTGATGCCCGGTGAATTTGATCCTTCCGGTCATTCTTTACCACAACAACCCTTTCATGGTTGTACTTTACCAAAGAGTTCTAGGTATATAATAAATAGTATTTTTAAAATTCGTTAAAAATAATTTAATTTCTTATCTTTAATTTATTATCGCAGATATCAATGTTTTCATAGCATCACAAATCCTTGGATAGGAAAAATTGGTACTTGTGTTGTAGCAGGGTCAAGTGGACAGCCGATAAATGATATCATAAAAGTCACAGGTCTTGTTGATTGCTCTCCAATTGACTGGCTTGAGAAAACATTGAATTGGAGGCATTTTGCTCCCACCGCCCCTGATACTCTTGCAGCTTACCCTTATTTCGATAGTGATCCCTTCATAATGCAAGAGTGCCCGGATGTTTATTTTGTAGGAAATATGAAGGACTACTCGACAAAGTTATCTATTGGTATTATTTTTTATGTACATTATCTCATAAATTATAAGTTTGTTTTCACCTACTCATTCACGTTTTTATCGATCATCATTGGCTATTAAATATTTAGTTTGATTTTAATATAAAAATTAATTATGAAGGATAAACTAATACAAAACTTTTTATTTAGGACAAGAGGGACAACAAGTAAGATTAATCGGTATTCCTGAGTTTTCCAAGACACACACGGCAGTTTTAGTTGACTTGGATTCTTTAGATGCTCAACCTATATCTTTTGGAACAAACTAATCAAACTTGAACAGGTGATAAATAAATATTTTTAAAATTCTTATTACGTTTTTCGTTGAATATTTATCAATGTATGATTTATTTATTTTTTTGCAATATATTATATTACATGTATATTTTTATTGTATATATATAGATATATTTATTATATTTAATAAATATAATTTGTTACTAAATTGTGTTAAATTTTTCCATTTTAAAGAGTTAACAGTACTCATTAAACCTGTACTAGAGTAAAAAAAATGATACAGTGTTTTTGTACAAAGAATAAAAATAATTGTCATTTCATATAAATTCATCTATCCAATTTAATGCAATAATCATTGAACCAGCAAAAAATTTTTGTGATTATATAACATAAACTATTGTCGGCTGAATTCGTTTTTTAATTGACGTAAAATAATAGAGATATTTCTTTTTATTATTTTTTATCACTTTAGAGTAAGATAATAAAAACAAGAAAATATATATTCATTATTAGTAATACTTTCTATTTAATGTTACAGGATAATCTATTGTTATATTATAACTATTTTATTTTGATGTTTTCTTTTCATTACCCTGACACTTGGTAACTTATATCGAAGCATAGCTAAGGCCAAGACTTTAAGCATTATTTGTCAATTAAATGCATGCTATTTCGTATACATACATATAAGATAGATCTTTAAAAATACATTTCATTTCTTTTAATATTTGTTTGTTCTTTTAATTCTTTTAGAATAAAATGATGATTCTTTTTTGATTGATTAAGATAATACTGGAACATCTATTTTTTTTCTTTGGCACCTTAAAATTGAGATTAAATAATGAGCATATATGATGACAAGCTGAATACAATTATTGGTAACATAATAGATTTGAAGTTCATCATTGTTAAATAGTTTTTAAAACAAGTTTATAGTTAACAAATATTAAAAAATGTTTCTATACTATGTTTTTTATTTTCGTTGATAACTTTACTGTTGTCCTACAATAACCTGAGTTTAATCAATTACAGTATGATTGTAATGTTTAATATTAAATGTTATTAATTCAAAAAATATTGTTGATATTCTTCATATCATCTTAAAAATGTTTCAATTAATTAATAATTTAACAACAACAATAATAATAATAATAATAATAATATAATAATAATAATAATAATAATAATAATAATAATAGCAATAATAAGATCAATAATAAATTATCTCCCACATACTCTAAATATAATTTCTTCGATTGTATTCTTTCTGGCCCCTCCGGTATAATGAAATACAAAAAATAAATAATTTGCGATAATAAATAATTCAATTAGTCAATAAATGAAATAGTAAACATTAAATTAATTATTAATTTATCTTATAAAATTTATTTTGATTTTTCAATTTATCTTCTATCATTAGTAATATTTAATTGACTCAATAATAACATAACTATAATAATGATAAAATTAAATAAATTTCAACCTAGTTCTTCGGTATACTTTGAGGCCTTTTTTTATGGCAAAATATGTAATGATTACTAATTGATTGATGATTTAATCGTTGAGTTTCGAAATTAATAAATATATCACAAAATCGAATCTAAGGAAATAGTGATTTAGAATAAGTTTCGATCGCTTTCAAGTTGAGAAGTTCCTTAGCACTTTTGATGAGAAAAAATCTACATAAAATTTATCTTAAAATATACTTATGACTTAGTAATTATTTAATGAATAAATTATCGAACAGTTTTAATTATCTTCCCACAGTGAATTAACTTGATTACCATTACAAAATCTCTGTATTTCCGGACTAGAAGATCTTGATGATGTAGGCGTGTTCATATTGAGGCAATCATTCATACGATCAGATGTCTCCCCATCAATTCCCGGAGTTTGAACATTCGCTGATTGCTCGTCACTTCTCATTGCGCAAATTACATCCGTCAATGCGACAATATAATTTTTGGCTAATGTAAGAGTTTCAATTTTTGATAAACGACGCTCTTTACTTACATGAGGTATTACTTCTCTCAAACTCTGTAATAAATAAATGAAAACTTAATACATTAAAGAAATTCCATTTGTTTACAGAAAAGTAACTGAATAAAATTGAATTAACGAAGAATCAATTCCCTATCGTATAAGAAGATCAATTTTCAACCTGGAATGCGTTGTTGAGACTGTGCATCCTCATTCGTTCTCTCTCGTTACTCTCAAGTCTCCGGAGGGTTTTCTCCCTTGGTGTACACGTACGAGATGACTTGGAAGATCTTAAATTATACCTCTCAATCCTTCGAGAAGTCTTTCGTCCACTCTTACTTGAGTGTCCTTCTTTTGGTGTCCAATCTTCATTCAAACTGTCTTCGTTTGTTACCTCTGATCGCATTATCTCCAACAATTTTTATTGAACACCTACAGGTAGAGATAAAAATTATAAATTATTGACAGTTTATTGAAAAAAATTGTATAGCATCATCACTTTTTCACTTATTAAACAACAATAAAAATTATACTTCTATTTGTTACATTAATGATAAAAACTGCATGTAAGTTTTATCTAACATAATACCGATTACAAAATCTATTTTTGTCATAGAAATATATATTTATGACTGCAACAATAAAATTAAAATAAATATGTTGTAAATCCAGATTATTTAACTATTTCTTATATCAATAAAATTAATTCATAACAAAAAAGAAATTTGTTAAAAATAATACGACTTGAACTATAAATAAAACTACTATCAAAGTACTTTGATATCATAAAATAAATAGCAATTATGTTTAATTCGAAAAATCTAACTTTGTAGTCAATTAAAAAATGTAGAAAATATTTTTTACTTACCAATTAGCAGTTAACTTGGATTATCAGCAACAATAATTAATTTTATAAATTAAATATCTAATAAGTAAATAATAATGATTTATACAATTATCCTTGATTAAATGAATGGAAAAAAAATCAATGATGAATGGAAAAAAACAATGTTTGAACTTAGTTTTGAAATTGTTGGAGAAATTTTGTTTAAGCTGTTATGAAGCGTTCTAAGGAAAAGATACTTGTTGAGCCACGTTTGAACGACGACTGACGTCGCGACGTCGGGGTGCGGTCGGCGCCGCCTTTCACCCTCCCCAGTAAATTCGAATACACCCCGTGTCACGTTAACAAGAGTACCATTCTCCCTTCCATTCTTCTGACTTTATCCATCCCTCCTTTTATATTGTGAGTCTGAAAGCTTTCAGCTTTTCGAGCTTACTCAGAAAATCTTTAGCCCCCGCAGTCGTTAATATTCAACTTTGTTCTTCATCGTCAACTGATTGTTGAAATAATGATATAAATGTGATAATCGGGAGACTAAGATAGACTGAGAGATGATAGATTCAAGTTATTTTAGAGGGTTGATTTGGGAACTCAATATTCATGGAGACACCCGGTATGTAGACTGTAGTCGCAAAGTTCAATGTGTGCTAGGCTACAGGTGGGCGTATGACGTAATTCGCCCACGCGGACTCTTCAATCTAGCCATTATCGCAACACCACCGACCGGAACAGTTGCCTCTGTTTCGATGCAGCGGGGGGTGTTGTCCGAACGACTCACGATTGCTTGGGTATTTTTTTTTTTTTTGCTTTTTTCATTTCTCCACTTAAGTCTCATATGATTAAAATTTTGTGTATATCCTCCATATGTGATATTTATAGTCTTTTGATTTCTTTAGAAATATAATTATATGAGAAAAAAAATCTATCTTTAGTAAACACATTTACCCAGTACTTCACACTGTTTCTTTTTGCTATTCGAATTAATTAAAAACACAATCAATAGTATTAGTGAAAATAATAGAAAATTTATAAGTGAAAAATGTGCGTAATTATTCATTGGAACTGAGATGAATAATGAAACTGTGATTTCTATAATAAATCAAGTTCAAATAAGAATTGAATGGAAAAAAATAATCAATTATCAATTATTAATTTTAAAAAATATTGAATAAAAGAAAATGATTAATATTTATAAAGATTTGTAAATATGATTCTGCTTTTATGTTTATGTTTAATAGATAAAAGTAATTGAATTGCAAAGTAGTCGCAGAGATTTAACTTTTAATTCAATGAATCTAGAAAAAAAATCAACTTACTCTTCCATAACAGCCCACATCAATTTATAAGAATAAATTGTCATAAAATATACAGATTAACTTTTTAAACTTATAATGTTTTGATGTTTAATTAATCTGTGCTATTTATTTAATATTATTTACTGCTATTTCAAATTTATTATATGACAATTATAAATTCTATGTTATTTATAAATAATTATTACATCATGTTCCATTATAAAAATCATTTATATCCACATTTAATAATTAATGCAAAATATTATGTATATCAAATTTATATACGAAACATAATTTAAAATCACTTATAAATTCCATTCGTTAAGTAAGAATCTTTATTCATATTTTCTTACTGATTTATTCCCATGAGTATAATTCATCTTTTTTTTAACTGTCATTTTTTCACACTTATTTACACTTTCCACAACACTTATCAGTCTGTTTTTCAAGCTCTGCAGGTTTATGATTTGGAGTCCATGGTCCTAAACTTGATGATGCATAAAAATCCATAGGATAAGGTTTTGTCAGATCGTATTCGGCGAGATTTAATGCCACAGCACCTTCGTAAGGTGTTAAGAAAGGCTTTTCAAAAGCCGTGCCCCAATCAATGCTAAGCCTTGGGCATGCAATTTGAATGAAAGCATCAATATCTTTAAACATTGAAATTTTGTCTGGAAAAATCTCAGACAATAAAATATCAACGTTTTTTTTCCCCAGAGACTGAATTCGTTTTTCTAAATTTTTTAACACTGATGGATTACCCTGGCGACCAAGAGTACCTAATACAAGACCAATTGTTTGAGCATTTTTAGCTTGTTCAATAAAATTCTTTCGTACAGTTCGCATATGATCATGATAATAAAATTCTTCAGTAATCTTTTTATCATACGGATCATATCTAAATGCACGAAGCTGTGGATTTGCTATCATTGCGGCCTCTAAATGAAAACGACCATCACCAATGTAAACTAAAGCATCAGCACATCGAATTTGTGGAGCAGTGCAGCCTAAAATCTATAATAAAATGTATGGTCATTAAATGTAGAGTAATAAAATTAGATAATTGAACCTTTTTTTTTAACAAAAAATATTACTTACCTCACCAGGGCTCAATGGTTTGCTTTGAGGTACACTAACTTCATATCCAACACTTCTCAATTCTTTGGCAATAACTTGCAGTGTTCCAGCGAATTGAATTGTGCTGACGAGTGCAAGTTTAGTAAGTACTTTTAATGATGCTTTTATACTATTAATACAGTGATCTGTATCAATTTTTATATCTACAAATATGTATAAAACTTTAATTCCTTCAGTTTGGTTGATGGGAATTAAGCATGAGTGTCCATAATGAATAAGGAGATCAACGTTCAGCGCACGAGCTGTGTAGTCATCAACACAACAAGCACCTGAAATTATATTTGTGTTGAATATTTGTCTATTTTGAATTAACATACAATGAAAATAATTTTGTAATGCTATCAATACAAGAGACCATTTTTAAGTACCATAAGTAACATCAGCCATAATTACAGTTTCAGCTTCAGTAAAATCTTCAATAATATCAGCAATTGTTGTTGCAACGAATAAAAGACCTTCTGGCATTTGTAATGCAACTCGTTTTGCCTTTGTTTCTCTTATTCTCCATATTGTCTTGTGAATTTCAAAATTATAATTTTCAGGTATAGCTGCAATTGCAGCATTTAATATTGGATCATCAAGTAACTCTTGTGGAATTTTACTGACACGAACTGGAGCTTTAAAAACTTTTCGCACTGGTTTTGCTTTGACTACAATGACAGAAGAATCTTCACCATTCATTTTGTTGGCTGATCGATTGAAATTATTTTTTATAAGTGTTTATATTAAAAATACTTTTGCAATTGACGCTCAATCATCAAAAATGAATGCGTACAAATATTTTTTTTACTTCACCAGAAACCAACGACAACATCAGAGAGAAAATTTAGAGGGATTTTGTATTAGAAAATTTTTTTTTTATCAAAAAAAAGTGTTTTAAATTACCTTTAGATGATAACAGCGAAATAATATTAATAGTTGGTAGATTATCGATATTGTGACGATGTAGAATAATATTTTGGCGCTTTTGCAAAGTAAAACGCCTGTCACACCTCATATTTCGCTTTGATCAAATTTCTTTTTGTAAAAAAGCACATTCGCCGATTATTATTTTGAAGTTTTTAATCGATTATGCTTCGATAGTTAGGTTCAGTTTGGTAGAACTCTAAAGTCTTACATTAATCATTGTATAAAGAGGTAATTTATTATTTATTTACAGTAAAAGTCGATAGATTAAAGTAGAATTTTATCACCGGTTTTTGAGGTTAGAATTATTCTAGTCTTTCGATATTTCAATATAACTTTAATTGTTCAACATATTTTCAGCTGCAGCAACTACACTTATCATCATGATAGAAGTCATCGATGACGATGGTCTACGACATTTGGACTTGACAGTGTAAGAAACTAAGTTAAAATAATTAACCCGGCCTAATAATTTTCATGAAATTTTTTTTTTTAGTGCAACGTAAAATAAGTATGTCAGAATAATGGACGGAAATATTAACTAAACTATTAATTTAAATGTGTATTCTAATCATATTTTATCATTTGATCTAAACAAATTTATATTTAGAAACTTGACGATAGTTTTAATAAGTTAATCAAAATTACCAATTGAATGATTAGATATTTTTTTCTTTCAATTATAGAGAGTTCAGTGGTGATGAGGATTATCATTCAACGGAAGTTTTTTGTACAACTGTTACTATTGTTCCATCTCCTGTTGAAAACAATTATGGTAGTTCAAAAGTAAAACTTAAGAACATTGTAGACTTTTCATGGGAACCACATTTTTATACCGGTCAACTTCTGGCAGTTCATATGTCTGGAAAATATCTTGCTTATGGTATTAAAGCTGGTAGTGGTGCAGGAGTTGTCAGAGTAGTCTACAAAGATTCAGAACAACGTGCTCTCCTTCGAGGAATGCGAGGAACGATTCAAGATCTAGCCTTCGCCCATGTTTCTAATGTTATTCTAGCTTGTATTGACTATACTGGTAGCTTTTTCGTTCATACAATAGTGTCCACGACCACTCAGTTAGTCTGTAACCTTTTACTTTTCATCAATTCTGAAGATGTTTCTCCTTGTAGTCATCGTGTTATCTGGTGTCCATATCTTCCTGATGAGGATGCATCTGATGGCGGAGAAGATGTTTCGAAACTTTTAATGGTTACTAGAGATTCAACTGCTGAGCTTTGGTCGGTTGACAATGTCTGGACTCAGTTTGGCTCAGGTCCTTTGTCATTAAATGACTCAAACGTTAAAAGTTGTGGAGGATTTATGGAAATTTGCAAGCACGAATCTACAATCGTTGAAGCTATTTTAAGTCCTGATGGAACTGCTATTGCAACGGCCAGTCTTGATGGAGAAGTTAATTTTTTCCAAATTAATTTTTATGGTAGTACACTACAGGAGGCTCGTTGTCTCCGTAAATGGAAACCACATGATGGAAGACCAGTGTCATCTCTTTTTTTCTTAGATGATCATAAAAACTATAACCCGGATGCTCAATTCTGGCGATTTGCAATCACAGGTTGTGATAATAATACAGAATTGAAAGTTTGGTCTTGTAAACAATGGAAATGTTTGCAAACCATTCACTTCAAATCACCACCTAATGGTAAAACTCCGGTATTTAAAGCAGGCCTGGATTTGTCAGCAGGATTCTTATTGCTGTCTGATATTTGCAATAAAGGACTTTATATTCTGAGTCTTGTGAAAGATCCAAATGACGAAAAAGCTTGTATATCAACAATATCAGAATTTAGACTACCATACCCAATTCTCAGTTTTGGAATCGTTGATGCAGGAATTCGAAAAATACGTCCAACTAGTGAATCTCTTGAAGATTTATGTCCATGTGAGGATGAGAGTGAAGATCACTTGGTAATCCGCATGTATTTAGTTCAGCCAAAATCACTTCAAGAATGTCATATTGCTTTTAAACCAGTCCGTATAGTTCCCAGTACTTGTAAGATGGATACTCTCACTCATGATTCTCTTGACTATATTGAAGATCTATTGCTTCTTCAACGTGAACAAAATAATATGGCTGAAGAAAATGGAGAGACAACAGTAGCAGCAGCAATAGAATCAGCTACTAATCATAATACAGGTATCAATTTAATGACTCCCGATGCTTTTAGTTCACCTACAAAGAAAGAGAATAATTTATCAGAATCAACAAGTCCAGAATTGGGTGATTTATTATCAGCAAGTCCTTCACTAGCTCAAGTAGTTCATGCTTTGAACTCATCTGATGCTCCTCTCGCAACTAGTGAGCAAGCTCCGCAAAGTGGAGGAAGTAGCCCTTCAAGAGAGGTACGAGAAATATTGTCTTTGGCTGAACCTGAAGAAGATGAAAAAGACGAAGATTCAAAAACTTTGGAAATTAATAATAAAAAAGATGAAAACTGGTCAAATATTCCGATGGCATTTTTGAGTACAGTTCATGTAGATTCCGATGAACTTTCAAATGATAGTCAAAGACCAAAAAATGAAGCATTGAAACAAAGAAAAACTTGGCTAGCAACGGAGAACGCTGTTAATTCTTTGGCAACAAAATTAGACGGACTTTTGCAGATAATTGGAGAACAAAGACAGGATTTGAAGGAATTGAGGAGTGAAGTTTCGAAGCTACGACAAGAGAATTCAGTACTATCAAGGGTGGAAAGTCCATTTGGAGGAATAACTCAACAACAATTAACTGCAATAGAACAGAGTATTTATAATAAATTAGCTAGACAAAGTGGATTTATGACTGAAATTGAAGTAGCGGTTAAAGAGACAGTCCAATCGACACTGCCTAAGATAGTTAAAGATGTAATTGATCCTTTGAAAATCCAGGCTAAGACTGATATGAAGAGAATCGATGATCTCTTAAACGAGAATTTAACACAACTTGTCGGTGGCAATCAAATGAGAGACATAGTGACATTAGCAGTAGTAAATGCTGCTAAACCTGTTTTAGATAGTGCTTTTAAGGAAGCCTTTGCTAATGATCTTCTGCCAGGTATCGAAAAAGCTTGCGAAACAATGTTTAGACAAATTCAAGAAGTATTCGTTAGAGGTTCAAAAGATTACTTACAAAATATTGAAAACTTCCTTGATGAAGCTTGCCAAAAGAAAAATGAGCAGCTAACTGAAAATCTTTCTCGATTGGTGCGTGAAGAACTACAAAATGAAATGGCCAGAGGACTCAATAGTCTTCAAGATGGAATAGTGAAAACTGTTAAAGAATCCATCAGAGACAATTTTGGTCAAAATTTTATTGATATTCAAGCTAGATCTCGTGCTACGACTCCTGGTATATCTATTCCATCACCTGTTGATGCTCAAGCAAGAGTTTTAACATTGCTACATAAAGGACAATATAACACTGCTTTCCAACAAGCACTAAGTGCCAGTGATCTTGGTTTAGTGGTATTAGTTTGTGAAAAAATAGAACCTGCTAAAGTCTTTGCTTCAAGCTCAGGCAGTCAAGGCTCTGGATCACGATGTATTCTTCAACAACCTGTGATATTGTCTTTGGTTCAACAGCTTTCTGCTGATCTTACTCATCGTACTGAACTCAAGCATAAATGGTTAGAAGAAGCTATTTGGAGTTTAGATCCTACTGATCCAGTCACTCGTGAACATATGGGTGCTGTTCTAATAACCTTGCAGACTCAATTGAGTTCATTCATCAATTCTAATCCCAATCATCGATTAACAAGACGTATGAAAATGTTGTCTATGGCTGCACGGTCACTTCTTTATCAACATCCTTAAATTGACAAGTGAAATAAGACTGTTCTTTGAACTGTGTATCTTTGTGTATTTGTCAATCGTTAACTTTGTCATCCAATTAGGCCAATACTCCTGTTACTTCCCTAGATATTTAAATTGAAGATTCAGAACTAAACAAATTATTAATAGTTTAACTTAAGAATTTTTATAAAAATGTGGAGTGGAAAATTGATAGCAATTTTTACTTATCTTTAGGTACATAGATTTTAAATCAGAATGGTTCCTACGTTGAAGTTTTTAAAAATAATTCAACGTGAATATCAAGAAAAAGTACTTTGAAGATAATTTTTTATTCACTACAAAAAATGAATTTTTTTTAATTCATTTATATATATATATATATATATATATTTTTGGTTACAGTTTTTCATGAAGTAAAAAAATATTAAATTCAAAAAATATATATTTTATAATGGTACTGAATATTCATAAGGTTGAATCGTTATTTTTCAAAAGTATTTTAATACTAGATACTTGTGAAGCAATAATTACATGATTATCTTCAGTATAGGTGTCTTTATTTACAGCAAAAGTATGTGTATGAGTAATAGAAACTATTTTTTTTTTCAATGATTATCATATTTTTGGGTTTTTGATGAAAATATAATTTTCTTTACTGATTTAAAATAAAGATATTGGGTTATTTCTAGTCTTGCAAGAATAAACAAGGAAATGAAAACAATGAAACAACAATAGCAATAACCAATAAAAAACAAAAAAATAAAAAGAAAAGGTTTATACAATCAAGATATTTTTTTTTTTTTATTATAAAAAAGTCTAAAACAACTCATAAAATGAGACTTTTTTTTTTATTGTTTATGACTTTATTATCACATTTATAATTACAATCAAGTTTATTTATGTAGCAATATTGAACATACATTACATATAGGAGTTTGGCTATTTATATTCTCTACTTTTTTGAAAATACATAACCAGTTATAAAAAAGAAGCTATTCAGATAAATTATTAAAAATAAAAAATCAAGAAATCAAAATTTTATATTTTTTAATTTTTTTTTTGCGTTCAATAAGAGTAATAAGCAAAAAATATTGCCTTTTTCTGTAAACTACTTGTGATTCTTCATTATAATTATTGTTGGGAGAAACAACGAAAATATATTTATCATCTTGATGCGATTAAAAGTATGATTAAATGGATTTCTTGACCGTTTTCTAAATAATTTAAGAGAGCAATGAGAATTTTATGGGTAATCTGAGTAATTATCATAATCTTTCTCTTGAAAAAAGGTTTTTTTTTCAAAAGATTAACATAGTTAAAAAATGATACGTTAAATTTGAAAAATTACTCACTTAAAATATTTTTATTTGTTAGCTACGCAAAAAATGTAATAGTTAAGACCAAGATAGAATTTAATGAAAAATTATTATTACTGAGATTTAAAAGCTAAGTGAAAATGATATATTATTATGTATCATAAAACAAAAATAATAATCCAATTTCTTACTATTTTGTAATTTTTTATATATTTACATTAGTTAAAATTATTATTAAATTATTTTCTAACAGTAATTAACTGATCGATGTCTTCAAAACTTCCTTGATATGAGCAGGAATCTTCACTCGTTTTCTTTTTTTAATTTTTCCAGAATTTTTAGTAGATTCATTGCTGATTGTTGTTTTCTTTTGTTTTTTTTTGCAGCTTAATGGATTCGGTCCACCTCGTTTTTTCTTTTTTTTACGTAATGGTGGCTCATCTGGCAATAGACCTGATTTTTCTTTTAAAGTTTTTATCGTTTCCTCTTGAACAGAATTTAAACTAAGTCCCTTAATCATAGCCTGAGCTTTTTCTTTACTTGCTTCAGATGGAGGCTCTAGTGTTGGAGCACAGCCATGAAGATAAATTATCGGAACTCCAGCTACTTTACGAAGTTGATCTTGAAGTTCTCGATCTTGAGTTGCTACGATGTATCTAAGTAAAAGTTAAATTACTTTATAATTAAATTATGATAACAGTTAATAGTTATGTCTGAAAAAATTAATTGATATGTACCTTGAAGAGTTATCTCTTCCTATCATCGATCGAAGACATTTAGAACCAGTTGTAGGATTCTTCACATGCGTACAGTTGTGAATGGCGAATTGTTTAACAATTAACATTGCTCCATATACTTTATGACCTAATCTTTCAGTTTCCATGATAACGCAAGGAGTTGTCAAAAGTTTGACGTTTGCTTGGAAATACTTTGGTAATTGTTCTTGAATATTAAACTTATTCTGCAAATACATTGTTTCTGTTACTAATAAACTATATTTTTAAAGCGAATTTATTAATTTCAAATTTAAAAACAACTATATAATGATTGTTATTAAAAAAAATGAGTTATTTAATTACCTCTAAAGCTGCATGAGAAAATGTCCCGTCAATGAGTACTTGATAAGGTTCATGAAATTTATAATTGTTAGCATAAAATGCCAAATTTTTTTGTACTTTTTTTAGTCTTTTAACTTTCATCTTTATCTAATTTTTTGATCCAAAGTCTCTTTATTTATTAAATATCTAAGGTTAACTCCGAATGTATTGACATCAAAAGACCATGTGCCATTTATTTACAAACCATGATAGATTTCGTATACATTTCAAAATTATTATAACTTGTTATTTTCCTTCACTATTCGTAGTTAATTCCACGAATTAATTTTATCCACAAACAGTGAATTTATTTCAAAACATTGCAACGTGTTTATCAATCGCCATGGAGGTTAATAAAATCGCACTATTTAGTTATCTAAAGTGACGTACGGCGCTGACATCATCAAGCTTCAGCTAATCTCCGTTTATTCTCTGCTTGCAAGTGACAGAGTAGCCTTACGCGCGGAACCGAAAAGATCCGAGTCTTGACTCTCGATCCAATCAATTTACACAACAATATTATTTACTTAATAAACAAATTTCAAACCAGATAAATTAAGAATAATGTCAGTGAGTTTTGCAGATTTATCAATAATTTTCGTGAGTTTTAAAATTATAATGTGATAAATAAATTGATAGTGTAACATGTATAAAAATAAGTATTTGTTGTAATGTGATTTATTTGGTAATTATATTTAGTTTTGTATAAAATATGTGAAGTTTAATGTCATTATAGTTTGTGTGTTTCCTCAATAATTAATTTTTCTATGGATAATATCATGAAATTGAAATTAACCATTGCTACTGGTGAGTCTTTTTTTTTTGTTTTTTTTAATTTTTTCTACAAAGCTTACTTTTCTTACTCGTTTCCAAGAATCTTGCGCCTTTCCCGCGCAAATAAGTTTACTTGCGCAGAATACTGCGCAAGTTTCGTAGAATTATCGACCAGTGCCCTCAAGCCGTTTGTTTACGTAAACTTTTGTATTGACTGTAAGCATCCTCACACGTCCGATAGTCTGTGTTTCCACGTGTAGTCATGTAGAGGTAGACAAATAAATTTTTACCTCGAATTATCGAAAAACGTGAATAAATTTGGTTTTTTATATTAATTATACTTGAATAATATTATCGTGAATATTTAATTATCATTTATTGATAATAATTCAATAAATAATAGTGAACACTATTGTGTGAAATATTATTATTTACAATTGACCATTTTGAGGTTAGTAAATTTTATTTATCTCATTTAACCGGTTGTTTCTTTACGATATTCTTAAAAATTCAGCTTTATTAGTCCGTTAATAATATTTTTCTAGATTAAATATGTCAACATCTTTGGCAGAACAATTGAAAAAATTACGTGCACCCCAAACATCGTTGCTTTTGCAAGATAAAAAAAGGCCCAGTCTTTTATTTGATCCTAAGGAAGCTGCAAATCTTGATCGAGATACAGTTTATAATATTGGTAAGCTTTACATGTTAATAATTAATAATCAAGACTATCAATTTATTTTTGATGGCTGGATAAAGATTCTTTTTTCATCTTACTAATTGATTTGTTTTGTTATACTAGGTAAAAATGGATTCGACGATCTCGTCAGATTATCTGATTCATTTCGAGAATTTGAGTCTACACTCTTTGCTCGATCTTCAATTAGTTTACAACGTTCAATTCATAACAGCAAGGTTAACAAGAAGTTAGATAATGAAATTGAACGATTTTTGATATTTCTTTCACCATACTTTTTACTCAACACAGCACATAAAGCATTAGAATGGTTGATTTTTCGATTTCAAATTCATCAGTTCAATAAAGATGCTTTTTTGATGCTAATTCTTCCTTATCATGAGACAAGAATTTTTGTGCGGGCTCTTCAGCTTATAGATTTGTCTGATCAAGCTGATAAATGGCATTGGTTGGAGCCTTTGCAAAAACCAGGAGTTCCACTTTCTTCACTTACACTTGTTAATCGAGTGGCTACTGATAATGGATTTTTAAAATTACTTTGTACTCACATTGTTAAGGCGACATCGATCCATGGTGAAGATTCATCAAGTTTAAGCACTCTTATTGCTTTTTACACAATGGTGATTATTGGAGCAATTGAAAGAGCACAAAAAATTACAGAAGTTCAAGTGGGACATTTATTACCAGCTTTAGCTAAAGGTTTAGCTAGTTCTACGATTGATTATGCCGCTGGTAATTACATGATTCTTGCTAAATTATCATCAAAAACTCAATTGACTAAAGAAACAATAGAATATTTACTTTTAAAAGCTTTGAAACGTCCAACACTTTCCAATGATGTGATGCTTCTCATTCTCTATATCTATGAGTCAACTCCAAATTCATTTGAAACAGTTTCTAATAAGATTGTTCGAAGAATTTTTAAATTGTCTTGGTTCTGTGATGAAATAACAAAGATTAAAACTGATACGTCAGTTAACGTCATGAAATTTTTGTACCTATTCTTGGAATCAGCTTTAAAATATGTATTAAAGAATCCTGATGAATACGAAGAAGAAAAAAAAGTTATTAAAACAATATTTGAGAAGGTTCCTCTAGAGGAGAAAGAAGTTAGCGAGATTTTAAATAATACACTTAATCCCAGCATAGTTTCTGGAAAATTATCGAAAATTGGAAGAAACTTTCTCTCTCAAATTTATGGTTTTATAGAAGTTAGATATGCAACTTGCTTTGATAAATTCCTGAAAGATCTGATGAAAAATAGTGAAAGCAATGATAAATCTAAAGAGCAATTTAAATTTTTAATGACTTATTACTCTAGAGCAAAAAGTACTAAAGAATCTCTTGATGCGTGGGATAGATTAAATCATTATTTACCAGAACAGCGAATGATAGCGATTGATATTCTATCAAAAAATCTTAAACTTACTGAAAATTTTGATGAGATGATTACTAAGTCATTATTAAACCGATTTGATGATGAGGATGTAAGAGTTGTAGACTCTTTATTGAAATTTCCAGTAGATAAGTTGAAGAAATTATTTCCAACTGACATCCTAGTGGATCATGTAATGACTTTACTGTCTCAATGTCATACAGAAAAGAAGAAAGTTTTGGCAAAACCAGCATTAAAGCTTTTGCTTCAAGTTTGTCATGAAGACGATGATACGAGTATTTTTGTTGCTACACTTCCTTATCTCTTTCCAAGTAATGAAGAAGAGATAGAAATAGCAATGGAAGTACTAAATAGTCAATTTGCAAAGAAGAATAAATATTTGCAAGCAGTGAAAAATGATTTAAATGATATTCTTGATGCAGAATCAATCGGATCTGCAGCTTTTCATAATATTTTAAACTGGGAACTTCTTCCCAAGACCGAAAATATTTTAACAACAATGAAATTGTCACCTTTGACTGATGCTACAACATTATTCTTCAATCTTGTACTTCTTGGATCAGTCTGTCGAGTTCCTGTTGGCTCTCTACACTCAAAGATAGCTCGAGAAGTTATTGATATGGCTGCAAAAATGATTAAACAGTATCCTAGAGTCAAAAGCTTATCAATGAGTAATCAATTAAATGGAGAGCAAATCCAGGATGCATTAAGTTTGACTTCACAAGGAATTTTACCTCTTCAAGCTGGTACTTATGTATTAGAAATGGTTCACCGGCGTTTAGATCTTCAATCAAACCCTCTTTTGGACTTTGAAGATGATTTAGATTATGCTCAACTAGTGTTAAGACTATTGGAAATATTCTTTGAAGGTTTAGGATCATCAAAGCGTCATACACACTATTCTTGGTGCCTAAAAATATTCTTCCAACGACATTTCCCGTCTTCTAGAGATATGTTACGATTTCTTTCACAATTTTTCATTAAACCTGTACAAGTACAGACATCATTACATGCTTTAAAAATTGTTTTAATAATTCTAAATAAATGTGATTCACTTCAGTGGATTTCTAATGATCAAATGTTCATCTCGAATTTGCTAATTGCTTTAGCAAGACCTAATAAACTTTGCAGAGAAGCGGCTGGAGAAGTTTTAAATACAATTTCTAAAACATTAAAATCAAAAATGGATGGTCCTTCAACATTACTTGCTGAACTGTCTTCAAGATCTATGGAAATTTTTATGGATTCTGATCAAATATCACTTATATTATATACTTTACTATCTCCAGATCCTGATGTGGTATCGCAAATTAAAAAAGATCTTCGTAAAAAATATCAAGAAGCTCGAGAATTTTTATTTAATATTGTTACTGATTCTAAGACTCCTGTTCACATATCTGCACAACTATTGGAAGTTTTAACTCATGTGAATGGAACGGAAATAGTTAAAAAACTTGCTCCACAAGGTCATAAATTGCTGCAAAAAATTCAACAACAACAAGAAAATAAAACGTTTGCTAAAATGAATCTAAAAAATATTTTACAGCGTTTTGATAGTGTCATTGTTGATATTTTAAATGATGATGAAGTCTGGAAATTTTTTGAAGCAGCAATAAGTAATCATCAACTCCAAATCCCAACAGAAAAGGGTATTCAAACACCCAGTATTATTTTAGTGAAACAAATTGATGAAATGTTCTTTGAAAATTGCGGAAAAAAAAGTTCTGACCTTCAAAAGAAGATTTTAACAAAGCTAGTAGATATTGTGACAGATTGTGAAATCGGTAGTATTGTTACAGTAGCAAATCGAACTGTTAGACGAGTTAAAATTGATGCTCAGCTTGTTATCAATGAACTTAAAACTATGAAAAATGCAAAAATACCAGAAGAAAAAATTAAAATGAATACTGCTAAAGCAAGAAGACTATCAAAACTTAAAGAAGCTACTATGTCTTCAGAGATTGTCCACACTAAAGCGTGGAAACGAGGGATCACAATCTTAGAATTTATTCAAAGAGCCGAAAATATAGTACATGAAAAACTTCTGATACCAGCTTTATTTGATTTATTAAGAATGTGTTTAGGATGTGAAGAACCTAGTCCACTAGAATACACTAATCAATTGCTATTATCAACGATACATCGTTTAGTTAGTGAAAATATTTATATTCCTGATGCCGATCAGCAAGTAGATCTTGTCTCTCAATGTATTAGGCAGTCACAGAATCCGCAAACACATCATCATGCACTTTTAGTTCTAGTTGAACTTTTTAAAGTGGCTAATCTTCAAATTGCACTTCATAATATCATGCCTATCTTCACTTTTATTGGAGGATCCGTATTACGACAAGATGATGCTTATTCTGTGCAAATTATCACAAAAACTATTGAAACCATCATTCCTATTATTAATGTAGTTGATAATGAAGTTCATGCTTGCACAGTTCTACGAATTTTTATTGTTTCTTTGCCAGATATTCCTGAGCATCGAAGAATTCCACTATTTGTAAAACTTCTTCAACTTTTTGAGAGACATCTTTATCTTTTTTATCTTCTTACTTTTGAAAGCCATGTCTTAATTCACGGAAATGATTCTGTTAGTCAACAAATGTCATCTCAAAGATTGGAATTTGCTTTATCAATTTCTCAAGAATTTTCTCCAAAAACTTTAATCGATGTTTGCATAAAACTTCTTCACTTTGTTCAATCATTACCAGTAGAACTTGACGAAAATGCTGATGTACGACCAATTTTCAAGAAAAACTATATATTTAATGTAGAGAAGAATACGCCTAAACAATTGAGGCATTACAAATATACTGTGGTACAATTCTTGAGTGCACTTTTGTCATCTTTAAATTTTGTAAACCGAGTAGCACTTTTAAGTTCTGAAGAATCCGCAGAAATAAACCCATCTTATGATGAATTTATTGTTTTATTAATTGTAATAATTCAATCTACATCTAAAAGTGCTGATATACATCAAGGAAAGCCTAAAGGACTATACTGGAAAGTTTTACTTCATCATCTTTATGAAATTTTAGATGCTATTGATGGCTTGTTACCAAATAATTCATTTATTATAACTGTAAATAAACTTATCAACCATGATTTATTGTCAGTTAGAAAAAAAGTTCTCGAATTAACAAATCTTCGTCTTCAAAAGAAAAAATTCAATGTAGATGACCATAAAGATCTTCTCAAATTAATAGATCCATTGATAAAAATAATTAAAAAACAAGGAATGATCTTGAGCCAAGAAATGGATGTGATTCAACAAACTGCTTTAATAACTCTCAAGCTTTTGGCTAAATATTTAGCTCCTGATTATCCAGACAAGTTCAAATCAATTTTAGAAATCACAACAGAGTTTATGAAAGTTAAAGAAGGACCTCTACTTGGTTCTGTCGTACTTTGTGTTGGTGAATTGTGTGGATCAATGCGAACATATGCCATCAGCCATCTAAACAAATTTATGCCTGAAATAATAAGACTTTTAAAAAAATATTGCAATCAGGAAGTTCCGGATATAGTTGTTCTAAGTATTGTCAGTGCTCTCCAAAAAATTGTTGAATCTCTTGGAAACTTTTTATCTCTTTACTTGGACAAACTTTTATCAGAATTGTGTAGATTATCATCACTTTATACGGATTCTGATAATCCCAAAATTGAATCAGTAGTTGTACGAATTAAAGCTACTCGTCAGAAGTTATCCAATTGCATTCCATTGCGAGTATTACTACCAGCAGTGTCTAAAACTTATCATAATCTCGTAGAAAAAAAAGCATATCAATGTATTCCAGCTCTAATGGAAATTCTTGCTGAGGCTTTTACCAATATAGTTTCTTCAGATCTTCGACCTGCTATGTCTGATCTCGCAACTTTCTTCCTTAAAGTTCTAGAGTTTCGAGAGCATCTAGAGACTTCAGAGGCTCTAAATAATTGTGAAGAAATGATGGAAACTGATGACGAGATTATAGACAACCGACATCATATCGTTTGCGTTGAAGAGTCTGTGAGCAAAGCTTTAGTAATGCTGATACTTAAATTGTCCGAAGCAACATTTACACCACTTTATTTCAAACTTTATGACTGGGCTGCAACAAATCCTGATAAAAAGTTGAGAAATATTACATTTTATAAACTTTCTAAGAATATTGCGGAAGCTCTTAAGTCTCTTTTTACCCTCTTTGCTGGACACTTTTTACAACATGCGGCTATGTTGTTATCTCAGAATAATCTTTTTGTTAATAAAGAACCAACAGAAAACTTGATTACCGATGAATCGCAAAGAGTTGAATTAATTGAAGCAATTCTTACGACATTATATAATATCTTTAATTATGACATTCAGAATTTTGTTAATCAAGAAAGATTCGAGACTATAGCCAAACCCATTGTTGATCAGATAGAAAACATAATCGGAGAAAGAGAAGAATTTAGTAAACGAGCTAAGGACATTATTGTTCCTTGTATTGCTTCTTTTGTATCTGCTACTCAAGATGACTCCTTACACAAACAAGTAGTCTATCAAACATTACTGAAAACTCGCCACTCAAAACCTCATGTCAGAAGCACTGCTCTAAGTGTCATCGTTGAAATTGCCAGGAAATTAGGTGAAGATTTTATGCCATTGTTACCCGAAACAATTCCATTCCTTGCGGAGTTATTAGAAGATGAAGATGAAGAAATTGAGCGAGCTACACAAAATGCTGTTAGAACTTTAGAGGAAATATTAGGGGAACCTTTGCAAAAATATTTTTAACCTTAAATAATAATTAGCAATTCAATGATATTTGACAGTTTATTTTTGTAATTTGTATATATATAAAAAAAATATTTGCTTATATTATTGTTAATGAACTAGTTTTCAATAATTAATATTAATAATAATAAAAATAATAATAATTATGTTAAGTTAGATATATTTATGTGTATACTAGCTATGATACAGCAATAAAAAAGGAATTTTTTTCTCTACAGTATAGTTTTTAGTAAATAAAAATAGGCATTTTCAATGAATAAAATTATAAAGTATGTAAATTTGATATTTTCACGCTTTTTTTCTTTATCAATTTTCAAATTGGCATTCAATCAATTTAGAATTTGATTAATTTTAAAGAAAAGTATAAATTATTTTTAAGAAATAAAATTTTAAATAAACGCAATTCAACATAAAAACAATAATAAATAATTCGAACTAATAAATTAAAAAATATAGTTTTATTAAACAAATCACGCCAAAATATCATTAAAATATTTACGAAGAATATATGACAAATTTAAAACAAAAAATAATTTTTTACCAATGTGAAAATTGATTACAATATTTTTTATAATAAATTTTATCTATTAAACATCATTGTTTTTGTCTATTCCTAAATCTAACATTTGAGATAACTCTCAAAAATAAATTTAATTATTTATTAAAAGAATAAATTTATGAATGAAAAAAACGAAAATGAACAATAATTGATACACCATAGGGTATCTTTTTATCTATTATAATAATTGGCATAATTTTCCAGTCATTTAACATATGAATGCCATCAAAAGACATAACAGTATATTATTCAGTACACAAACGGTTATTTTCTGTCATTTATTTTTATGATCTGTACTTTTCCTTTGTTAATCTATTTTTTTTTTTAACAAACTCGTCTTTGTTAAGACTTTGTTGGCTCATTAGGCTTATGAGTGTATATATATATATATATGTTCAATTTTAGACCACCGTAGAGTTAGTAATTAGTAACTTAAAACTAATTTCATTATGTACTTTATTAACAACAAGAGTGTAGTCAGACTTGCGGTACGTCTGTTGGTGGTCGTAAGGCCATTTCTTCTCCAGAACTTATCGTTGGTACTTTCCTGAAATTTATAATGAATTAATTGTTAGCAAATTTATTTAAAAAGTTTATTCTCTTTAGTCTATTTTTTTTTTCTAAAAAATAGTAAATTTCTATACAGATAAAATATCTAGTGTTGATAATTAATTATACCCAAAAATTATACTTTTCAATTCCATTGTAAGCAATTTGTATTGAATGTAAATTCAATTAAAAACAGTAATGAACTTGATCACTGTGCCAATAAATTCCGTAGTGTTACTAATACATTGAGCTACATAAATAATTAAACTAATAAATAAATGGCTAAATGAGGAAACTAGTACCAATCATTTCGGAAATTTAATTATATCACTAATGAATAGAGTATGGTTTAGAATTATTTTAAAGAATAGTAAAGCAATAATTAATTAATAAAAAATGAATCTCATAAATGTTTTGCTTACCTTTTCCTGTATTGGAAAATTATATAAACGATAACTGCATTGCCAACGAATAGCAAAACAATGAGTATCGATGGCACAACCATATCTAAAACAAAAAAATATCTCAATTAGTTTATCACAATGATAAAAATATGTACAATGTTATTTATTTATCCAAGTTAATATTTTTTTATATCTCTATTGAGATTATTTTTCTTGTTATTTATCAGCAAAAGATGACTCTCAACAAATAAGTATTAAATAATTAACACGTTTTCATATGAATAAATAAATAATTTAAACTTGATAAATAACATTTGTGCAGTTAATATCTTTTTTGTTGGCTGAATCATCAACGGGATCCCTACCCTCTCCCACACGTGGCACAGTAAACTTTGAACTTTCTCAGCAAAATATATTATTTAAGTTTCTCAGACATATATATTATTCATAAAATATGACAGAAATATTTCTCACCAAGTTATTCATCCTATTATACCTAACACAGTTTCTTATAAAGAATAAAATAAATAAATAAAATATTTTACTGACCCACAACAAAGTCTGCTTGCTTCATCATATTGGTCTGCGCTGAATCCATACCCAAAACTGATTCTACTACGACTGCGTTGTCTGTTCGTCCAATTCTCACCCCTGTATTGTGAATATTGTCACCTGATAGGCTAACTAGGTGGTTATCGTCTTCTTTAGCTTTTAAAATAATCGCTGAAGAGGCTGAAAAAAATAAATAATTCATTCAATTATTTAATTATTTGTTTATTTTATCAATTGATTAATCAATTATTCTTTGTCAATAGTAGCTAAGAGATGATAGTTATTATTATCAATAAAAAACAATGCAAATTGTTTATTCAACTGGAAAATATCCAGAGATAGATTTATTGATATAATGTCCGAGTAAATATTGTTGTTTTAGTTTTTATTATTTAATATTCTGCATTGATATTTATTTTCAAGCATTGAAGACTATTGGAGTGATTAAAATTAGCTATTCAAGCGTACCGAGAAATTACTCATCTGGATAAATTTCTTCGAGTATGCGAAATATTTGGCCTTGATCCAATGTTTATTATTTATTTTTATTTATATTCAATACACAATTAATTACTTTTATTGTTTATTAAATACAAATGAACATAATAAATATTCAGGAACTGAAGAATAATGTTTTTATAAGATTAAGAAAAAAAAATTAGATAAATTATTAGGTTGTCAGAAAAGTCATGACGCACTTTATTTTGAAAAAAATGCATCATAATTTTACCTACAACTCAATAGATATTTTTAAAAAAGGCTACAATTTGTTTTAAATAGGTCTTTTCATTTCATAGAAAGTCCGAAATTCGAATAATTGATTAATAATTATCAATGTTCGTCTAGATTATTCAATTAGTTTGTTATCAGTAAATGATAAATCATCATATGATATTTTAAGAGTTTATGAATCCGATTATTAAAGAATTAAATTAATATTTGTCTTTTTTTTTCTTTTTAATTTATATAAAGAAAGATTAACTTTGTTTTATTATTCAATTTAGAAAGATTATATAAATAAGAGAATTTTATTATTCAAGTAGAATCAACATTGCTGAAAATAGTAGGATAATTTTTTAATCTACTTGGTGATAACACACATAATAAAAATAGTTTCTAATCAGTTTTATTTCATGCACTAATTATTATAAATATTAAATGATATAGAATTAAAATTGAATTTAATGTATATTACTTTGTGAATCATTCTGATATTTAACCAATTAGGAAATTGAGAAATTACAGCTGGTGATAACGTTATTAATGCTTAAAGAATATAACTTTTATCTATTGAATTAATAATGAAGGATTTCAATTCCAAAGTACTTCTTTCTCCATTATTTACTATATTTAATATTGAAAATACTTTTAATTAGCCCATTTTAATTTATTATCAATCATAAAACAATGCTTTCCATCATAATAAATTTCAAAAACTCTTTAATGGATTCTTTGAAATGAATAACTATATAGGACATTGATAAAACTATTTGTCGTTTCCCATAACTATTAGTACTTAATAAAATTTATCTAATCTGTTAGCAATAAAGTGACCTTTTACATAATTTTTTTTTATCTGTACGAGGACTGGAAATAGAATCGATTTCTTTATTTGTAGGGGAAAAAGCAAGGGTTATATTGCTACAAATAAGTTTCTTTTCTCAATATTGATTTTACTTTATTAAATGTAATGCTTCAAAACGTTTAAAGATTGCTTTTTGAATTCATTCAACTGATTTTCATTATGCTGAAATGAAGATCCTTTATTACAACTAATAAAAAATATTCTTTTATAAACTCTAAAAAGCTTCAAATTGTGATAAATTTATCAATAAGTTGATAATAATAAAAAGAACTTTCTATCATTACAAAACTTCCTAAAGTTATCTTAATTGGACATTAGTTAACGCCTCTTTGACAATGAAACAAGTGTTTTCACGTTAAGCTTAATTGTTGGTTTAATGTCCCCATTATCTAACTCTTGATTACAGTCATATCAACCTGAAAAAGGCCCTCGAAAATTTTTGAAGCTTTGATAAAAGAAATCTGCAAAATGTAGATAACAAAATTTGTCACAAATTGAATATTGATGATAAGTAGTTGATATTTCTTCAGATCAATTTTAATAAATCTAGAAGATTTCAATATTTATATTTATATATTTATGTGAAACATTGTTATATTGAAATGAAGTTGAAGGAGCTTGATGTGGTTGATATGATGCTACGTGCACTTACTATACTGAACTGTTATACTTGGGGTCACGTTGAGGCTATCATATTTCCTTTCATGGTTTACAAAGCTTATCAATTATCACGCTTGAAGCATGTACCCATCACGATATATCACATTGGAGTAATGCATGTGAAGATCTTTATTAAGATGATAATAAGAGTAGTTTATCAGTAGTAGTATCCTACCGGAAATTTCCTTGACTTTTCTGTGGTCAGATGATGTGATGTTAGGGCAACACTAGAATATATTCTCTCTTTGTCTGAATTCAATCGCTCACCATGAACTTCTTTTGTTGTTGAAGACAATAACAACCGCGTACGAAGACCCGGCTAGTACTGAGGGGAATCAAATGAGTCAAGCAGACCGAAGGCTTCTAAAATGATGCCTGTATGGTTGATGTACAGTAGCACAGTAGCTATATAGAAAGGAGTCAATTGAATTCACAACCAAGGGTGATTGAGTTTACTCCATTTTCGGATATGTACACTCTTGCCATGTGGGTCATGCACACCAAAGCACACCAAAGAGTTTAAATATTCAAAGTCATGAATTGATTATTTAAATAAACTGATCAATAAGAGTTGGTAATGCACTTTGTTTTAATTGGTAGATAATAATGTTTGTAGAAAATATTTTTCAAGACATGTTTGCACTTGATGAAGTGAAATTAAAAAAAAATAAATCTTATCGTTGGTCATTAATAATCATTAATGAACATGTCTTTGTTGTTGATAGTAGTGATTAATTTTGAGATCTAGGTTTTTCTATGTATAATTAAGAATGGTTTTAATGGTAAGAAAATTTAAATGAGGTTCACCTACACTTTTTCAGAAAATTATTCAAGTTTTGGCAATTTAGTCATTATTTATTTTTTTATTTTTTTGAGAGTTTTTTTGTTTATTTGTTCTTAATTTAAATAAATTTATGTTGGAGTAGTTTTATGTTTGGCTAAATAAAATTATCAATGAAAGTATAAATAAGTTTTTTAAATCAACTATTCTATATTAAAGTGTAATTCATTTCTTATTAATCAGAAGATTTTTTTCTAATTATTTTTCACAGAGGAAATAAATAAATTTGTGATTTAATAGAACTGAAATTAGTTAGACTGAAGTCAAAATTTAATTTTAATTACTAGCATTAAAGATAAATTTATTTCTACTGAAATAATTATTCCATCTACTTTCCTTCATAAAATAACTTTACGATAAATATTTTCCTCATTATTGTGTACTCTATTGTTGTTAATAAGACGAATTAATGAAAGCTATTGTTCGAAACCAGCAATAAAGGAATAAAGATAGATTAAAGCTCTTAATGAAAATGTCCTTGGTAATTCAGATAAAAATTAGTTTGATAAAAAAATCAAACATAGAAATCATCAACTTCCTTTGCTAAAACAAAATTACATGAAATTAATCTAAAATAATATTCCATTGAAACAAATTTCTCTTCACTTTCCAGAAATTATTTGATTATGTAAATACAGTGCTATGAAGATCAATGTTTTCTATCATCCATGTATGGATATTAATAACATGTCATTAACCATTTTTGTATATTCATGTAATTATAGAAAAACCTAATACCTATTGAAGGTTTCAATATTTTTTTTTTGATCATCTTTTATGTTAATAGCATGATGATAATAGCTATACAAGACATTTTTCCTATGAAAGAACTCTTTTTTTCTATTATCACTCTTTCAAATATTTATTTCACCTCTATTAATGACGCAATTTACATATTTACTATACGGATTTTCTTTTCCATTACTAAGAAATGATACAACATAGTGAAGTTTACCTTCAAAATACTTGAGATTAAATTCTGTTATTTTTTATGGTTCTGTTATAATATTAAATAATTACTTAAAATATGTTGTAATAAATTTATAATAAAATTTCTCGATTTATTATAGTCTCAAAAAAAATAATTTAATTTATTAAATTAATTTTTTGTATCAATAAATTTAATGATACAGTTAATTGAAGTAATCATTTAAATTTTTTTTAATGAAATAAATAATGTACTTGTGGTTGTAACAAACAATAAGTGTTTCATCATTCGTGGAAAATATTCAAAATGTTTTCATAACAGGATGTTTTATAAAGGAAAATTACGTTTTTTTTGTATTTGCTTAATGAGTTTAAATCACAGTAATAAATATTTTATCTTTAATTAGTTTTTATTTGTTCATGATTGTGTTTGATTCAAAAAGTTGATTCATATTTGTTTTAATTGTGATAAAAATAGAATCAGAAAGATTTTTATTATAAAATTTTTAAGAATATTTGAATAATAATTATTAAAAAATAAGACAGTTAAAGTTTTAAAGAGTTTAAAAATTTTATTTGAAAAAGATAGTTAACTGAAATGAATTTGATTTATTAAAGTGAGATGTTGAAAGTAATGAATATTAATTAATGATGACACAATGATAATTCAAAAATGATGTATAAATTTAATTATTTCAGTTAAATAAAATATAGAACAAATAATTATTAGGTTTTATAACTCTACTCACTTATAAGATTCCTAAACGTGTCAGCAAATATCCGTATCATGTTGATAATTTTAAAATATAATTCACAAATATATTTGAAAAAATAACGTTATAATTTTGAGTTAGTAATAAAAATGTTAAATAAAATAACAATGTTGACAATGTCAGCTGGGAGCAACCATCAGCATCACGATCTCACACACAATTTTCACGACACTGTACAATTCTCTGTGGCTTCCCTAGCTCCCTTCTACTTTTACTCTACAGTCAGAGAAACGTCCAAAGTCTCTTCACGTCTTCTTCTTTTTAAAAGTTTTCTCTCTTGCACTTTCTTATTATCTTTACTTTATAACTTTATTAGTACAGCATTAGCCAAAGTCATCTGCTTTAATGAATCCTGTCATAATCCTTGATAATATTTTTGCTTTTCACTCAAAAT